GGAGGGCCTGCTGCCTCCCCGTGGAGGCCCCTACGCTCTGGGCTCGAGGGCTGCCGTGGGGCCTGGCCTGTCACTGAGCTGGCCCTGAGCACATGGCTGAGTCTCGGGCCTGGTGCGCTCCATGTTTGTGTTCAGTTTCTGGGAAGGGTGGAAGGGCAGTTCCTTGCTCACAGGGTTTGCAGGGTTGGGTCTCAGGTCCTCGAAGCTGTTGCTGGAGCTTCCTGCCCTGCCGGAACTCACACAGCCCCTCACAGATGGTCAGGTGCTGGATCTGAACTCTGGTGTCTTAAATCGGCCTCTTGGGTCTCTCTTACTGCTCTGGAGGAGACTGTCAGGAAGCAGGAGAGGCCCGCCCACTCTGAGCAATGCTTCTGGGTTGCAGTGTGGTCAGTCTATCCCTCCTCCCTGAGGCGGCCATGGTCCCACTGCATGCACTGCCACCTCCTGCCTGTGCCAAGTCGAGCTGGGTGACAGGCAGAGCCCATCACATATGTCTTTCCCCGTCCATGATCTCAGAGGAATTCAGTGACAGGGAAGACAGAGACCAAGATTCACATGGGGCAAAGTTGGCTCGTGGGAAGCAGGTGGCTTGGGGTACAGTGAGCTTAAAGGAGAGCTGAGAACGCAGGTGTCCTGGATGAAAAGGACCGCGGCAGTCACTGGGCCCAGAGAGCAGAATGCCCCGCCTTTGAGTCTTGGGTCACCAGACACTTGGAGCAAGGATTTGTTGGCGGGAGGCAGGGGCTGCGAGGCCTTGGTACGAAAAGCTTCAGGACGGAGCCACGAGCTATCGCTTCTGTGAGAGCCTTCTGGGCTGTCGGTCTAATCCCAGACAGACTTTCCTCTCATAAGAATAAGATGAAAAATAAGACTCTGAAAGAACGGTTGAAGTTGTGTCATTACCCTGTACCAGTGATGGTGAACCTTTTAGAGATGAGAGCCCAAACTGCAACCCAAAACCCTTATTTGCCGCAGAATGCCAACACTGCAATTAAACCTAAATACCGAGGTTTTAGAGAAAACAACTCATTAAAAGAAAAACACAGTAACAGAGCTTTCAATGATGCAAGCAGCCTGTTGCACACAGGTGCCATAGGTTTGCCCCCACTGCCCAGGATGAGTGGCCGGTGCCCCGCAGCTTCTCTGTCTGCCCCCCGCCCCGTGTCTCTCTCCTTTTCCCTCCCTCTCCCTCCATCTCTGTCTCTTGGACATGACCCACGTCTGGCTTTCTCTTCTCCATCTTCAGCAGAGGTAGTTGTAGCTGCTTTTTTCCATCCAGTGCTATTCTCTGGAGCATGACTTCTCCCTTGAAGCTGTGGTACTCTGCGGCTCCCTCTGCCCTGCTGTGCTTCCTACCTGGGAGACCTGTCTGTCACAGGCCTTGGGATTCTCACTGCAGAGCAGGCCAGTGGGCGTGTGGACAGGCAGCTGTTCCAGAAAGTTAGGCCACAGGCCCTGCAGGGGTGCTGAGTCAGGCTGGGGTGTGTCTGTGCATCTCACCCCCACAACTGCACTGCCAGGTGTCCCTGTAGGTCTCCCCAGGGGTTCCCAGCACCCCTGCCTGTCTCTTCCAGGACCTTCTGGACCCGGCTCGGTGGCGGATGCTGATCCAGCAATTCCGATACGACAACTACCGCCTGCACCAGCTGGGGAACAGCTCTGTGTTCACGCTCACTCTGCAGGCTGGCCTCTCAGCGATCAAGACACCGTATCCTCCCTGTCCAGTGGTCAGGTTCCTGGCCGTGCTCATGCCTTAGCACAGTACCCCCAGGACAGGTGCCACGTCCCACGTGCAGACCACGTTTTCCCTGTGTTGAGCTTGTGCAATGCTGAGATGGCTAGGGGGTCTGAGAGCTCAGTCTGTGGGCCCATGTGGCTTCATCTCCTGATCCCTGGTGCTGCTGTGCTCCCAGGAGTCCTTGGGGCCAGGCGGCTGACCCTGTGTGACCTCCAAGCCCAGTACAGATCCTTGTAGGAATTTGAGGGACCTGGGCCCAAGCCTCAGGTCCTGCCAGAGGCCAGCAGGTCAAGGTGCCATGGCTGCTTTGGGGGTCAGGCTGCAGTACGCTGTCTGGTTGCCCAGAGCTGCATACCCTCATTAGCCGTGTTTGCTTTCCGCGTGGTGCCTGTGGTGAGTGCCACAGCGTGCCTGTTTCTCGGCGGCGCCTGGCCCTTCCTTAACCCTGTGCACAGACAGTGCTACAAGGAGGACGGCAGCTCCAAGAGCCCTGACTGCCCAGTGTGCAGCCGCTCCCTGAACAAGCTGGCCCAGCCCCTGCCCATGGCCCACTGTGCCAACTCCCGCCTGGTCTGCAAGATCTCTGGCGATGTGATGAATGAGAACAACCCGCCCATGATGCTGCCCAACGGCTACGTCTACGGCTACAACGTGAGAGAATAGGGTGCTGCAGGCTGCCCTGGGCAGGGCGGGCGGGTGCTGGGCTGCACTTGCCTCGATCCAAGATGGATGAGGCCAGAGCCGCAGCTGAGCAGCCCCAAGGCTCTGTGACAAGTGCACCCCAGACAGTGTGTGCAGGATGTGGGGTCTCTTCCCTGGGGGTCCTCACATGGGTTTCCCTGGAAATCCTCAAGGCGTTGCACTTCCTGTCCTAATGTATTCCTGGTCTTTTTCAGTCTCTGCTTTCTATCCGTCAAGATGATAAAGTTGTTTGCCCAAGAACCAAAGAAGTCTTCCACTTCTCACAGGCCGAGAAGGTGTACATCATGTAGGCTGAGTTCTCAAGTGTACGCCTTGGGCCGCACCCTCCTCCTGTCCCTGACCCCAGCCTGCCGCGGCGTTTCTGTTTCTTGCGACCAAAGATCAGTGAGCAACAACAAATACTTAGGGAGAGAGGAAGTAAGATTTGATGAGTTTGTAATTGAAAGCAACATTTTGATCGGTAGGATTTTGTAACATACGTCAACTCTGATGCTTCCACAAGTACTGCACCTCTCAGAGGAGCTTCTCCACTGACTGACCTGACAGTGAGGGACTCTGGAACATCTCAAAAACAGGAGTGAGCTCCCGTGTTTCTCAGTCTCCTCCACCTGCTGACGATGAGACTCGGGAGCTTGAGGAATGGGCTGGTCCTTTCCTGAGTGCTGGCCGTGGCCGGGGTGAGGACTCTGACACAGCGCGGGGGCCTCTCCCGACTTCACCCAGAGCTGTGCGCCCCCAGGGCTGGAGGGCTCAGTGTCCTGGCCGCCGTGTGCGCAGGTTCGGGTCTCGTCCTCTGCGTCGCCTTACTTCCTGCTTCGAGAATGTACCACGTGGAAATCCACTGGACCGCATTTCTGCAGAGGCCTTGCTGATGGCTCGGTAACCCTGGAGTCTCAATGCTGTTCCCAAGTACTGAGGGGTTTCAGACACACGAACCTGTAGTTCACGCACCATATTGTAGAGGTTTGTATCTAGCGCTTATTTTTGCATGTTGATGTTGATTAGCTAATAAACTGTAAATGTAAAACGTGTTAATAAAATGGCTTTCTATTTCTCATTTCTGTGTGAGTGTTTTTGACTCCAGGGTCTGCTTTGCTCTCCCTGCCAGCTGCGGGCTAGGCAGCCACACATAGCCACACACAGGGCCTGGCTTCTCGCTGCTGTCACCATGGTGAAGGGCTCTGTGCTGCTGGGAGGCGAGGTGAACGCCCGGAGGGAGCTTGCCATCCTGGCCTCCAGGGGCTTCCTGGGCACAGCAGCATTGCTGAGGCTTCTGCTGGGCCAGCCAGTGCCCTGCCCGGGGGAGAGGTCCAGCCTGGTGGGCTCTTCGAGTGACTCCTGTCGGCTGCAGCCCAGGTCCCTGGGGCCTGTGTGGTCACCGTCCAGTGGGTAGAGGCCGAGCCTGTGGACACCAGCAGGCAGGCTGGTCTGGGGCCCTGAGCCATAACCGCCAGCCCCAGCAGCTGCTCTGCCACCCTTCTCTGCCATCTCTACCCCTGCTCTGTGGCTGCCGCCCTCAGCACCAGCACCCACCCACTGCAGGTCATGCGCAAACCTCTTCAGGTGCCAACCAGCTCAGGCCTTGGCAGAGGTAGAGCCCTTGGGCCCACTGGTGGCCTCCACTCCCCATGGCACCAGTGCTCTGCATCAGGGAGCCCTGAGACCTGTTCAGCGCACTGGCCACACAGCCCTGGCTGGCACCTCTGCCCTCAGTGGGGTCCATGACCTGCTCTGCCTACTCGAGCGAGGGGTGGGCAGTGATGCCCACAGGGCCCTATTGCACCACAGCCCAGGGAGCTTCCTCAGCCACCGCACTCCCCACTGTGTGTGCCAGGGTGGTGCTCCTGCCCCCAGGCACCTGGGACAGTCCTGGACAGGCTCCCACGTGTCCACCTGGAGTCTGTGCCAGCCTCCCCGGTGCCCTGGGTCCTTTCCCAGCCAGCTCCCGTGGGCCCCAGGGCTCGCCTTCTGCCAGGGCGGTGCACTGGAGCGTGAGTGTGGTGTCCCTCAGGGGACCGCTGTGAACTCGAGCCCGGCTCGTGGGGTGTACACTCGGGAGCACTGTGGAGAGCAGCACGGGGCCCAGCCTAGCTGGCAGAGGCCGTCAGCCCGTTGTGCACAGGTACTGGCACTGCACGGCCCTCCTGCTCCATCCTCTAGCACTTGCCAGCACTGGGGTATCAGGCCTTGTTGATTAATGTCTTAAAATTTTAATTTTAAAATTACATATGTTAATGCACACATCTTAAGGAAAACTGCAGTTTTTGTGTTTTTGTGTCTGGCTTATTCGAGTCTACTACATTTTTTTTTTTTTTGGTACTGGGGACAGAATTCAGGACCTTGCACTTGCAATGCAGGTGGCGGCACCACTGAGCTAAATCCCTGGCCCTAATTTTTTTTTTTTTTTTTTTTTTTTGAGGCAGGGTCTCACTGTGTAGTTCAGGCTGGCCTTGAACTTGTGGCAGTCTTCCTGCCTCAGCCTCCCCAAGTGCTGAGATTACTTACAGGCATGTGCCATCACAGCCAGCTACGGTATGAATACTCTTGAAAGTCACATTTCTCTAGATCCTTCCTTTTTGTTTTCTTTTATTTTTGATAGAGGTCTTGCTAACTTGCCCAGGCTGACCTCAAACTTGTAATCCTCCTGTCTCAGCCTCCCTCTACACAACAGTTCCCCTGTGTATTGCTGAGCAGCAGCAGCAGCAGGAACCCACAGATACACAAACCAAGACTTGCACATTCACTTCCTGATGGTCTGGGTCCCTGCTCCAAGGCTCCACCTCTCACTTCCTCTACTGCAGTCTCTGGGCTCCAGGGCATCGTTGAGTGCAGGGTTGAGTGCAGCGGGAGTGGAGGTTCCAGCAGGGCGGAGACAGCAAGTCTTGCATAGGTAAGCGTGGCCTTTGCTGTGGGTTTTCTACAGATGTCCTTTATCAGGCTAAGGAAGTCCACTCTCGTTTCCTAAGAGTCATAACCATGAATGGATGTTGAATTTTGTCAAAACTTTTTTATGTAATAACAACCTTTATTCTGTTCATATGGACAATTACACTGATTTCAGGTCCTTACTCTTGCCATTGCTGAGGTAACTCCCAGATACTCGTATTGTATGACAGCTTTTATATACTGCAGGGTTTGGCCTGTTAGGATTTTTCTAGGGATGTTTTGCAACTATGTTCAACTCAGGAGAAGTGTATTTTGGCTCACAGTTTCAGGAGATTCAGTCCGTGGTCGGCTGGTTCCAAGGAAGAAATGGCATGGCAGACAGGCATGGTGGAGGAGAGCTTCTCACCACAGGGTGGCCAGGAAGCAGGGAGTGGGGAGCAGCTGAAGACAAGAATGCACCCCTCCAGGTCACATCCCAGTGACCCACCCCTTCCACCCAGGCCTTACCTCAGAACATGGGGTTTGGGGAGGACATTTTACACCTAAACTATAACAACCACTTCAAGTAAAAACACAACGGTCCGAGCCGGGATTTAGCTCAGTGGTTCCACCGCCTGCCTCTCAAGCACAAGGATCCAAAGAGTTCAATCCCCGGTACCAAAAAACCCCCCCAAAACACACCGATCTACATATGCTACCATTTCTCTCGCCCTGTCCTTTGGGCTTCTCTGGTCAGAATTTTTTCTACATGGGACATATCCTAGAATCCATTTTTGCAGTCAGTGATTTAGAAAAGAAAGTTCAAATGAAATATATGTATGCACGATTTTATCATTTACAGAGCTCTTCGTGGAATAAAACAAGGATCCTTGCTGTCAGGGAGCAGACCCTGGGGTGGAGAAGAGGAGGAAACCACGGAGACCAGCAAGCCTGCGACCGACCGCTGAGGGCTCTGCGGAGTAGTAAAGGGGCGGGGCGGGGGGGGGCGTGTTACTGCAAAGGGGCCAGGAGCGGAGGGTGTGAGCTCTCACGTGGGAGTAGGTGCAGGGCAGACTTGCAAGCAGAGCAGGTCCCAAGGCCCAACCTGGGGAGTTCCGGCCGGCAAGTCCAGGCAGGCAGGGGCAGCGCTCCTGAGCTCGGGGCCATGGGATCTGACCGAAGCCTCTGAGGGTCCCTGAGCGCTGTGCGGGTGCACTAAGGACACATGCGGGAAAGAGAGCACAGAGCAGGAGCTGGGTGGTGGGACGCGCTCAGGCCCTGGGCTTGCTCCGAAGGTGGGGCTGTCGGGGTTCACAAATGGACTGCACTTGGGGTGACTCTGCTTGCTGTCCAGGGGGGCAGAAGGTCGGACGCCCGCACGCTGCTGGCTGCTAGGAGAGGGTGGGAGGGCTGTGATCTGCAGGTGACCCTCACTGGCCACCTGGCGACCACAGGGAGTGTGGCAGGGAGGAGGGGACGCGAAGTCGCTGCGTGGGGAGGGACGCACCGGGCGGAGGGGGGCGGGCGAGGGCGAGGCCGCGGCCGCAGGGCCCGCGCTTCGACAACCCCGGGAGCAGGGGACCTGGGGGCCCCTCCCTCCCTGCAGACGGTGCCGCGCGGAATGGAGCTCCCGACCCGGCCGGCCGTGCGCACCGAGGCTGCGGTCGGGGTTGCGGGCGGGGCGCTTCGGTGGACATCCTTTCCGCCCGCCCGCCCAGCCGCCCACGGCCTCGCGCCAGCTCCCACCTGGTCCGCCTTCCGGGCCGTGCGGGGGAGGTGCGAGCTTTCAGACGGGCGTGGCAACGAGGCCCAGTCGACACCTTCCACCGGGCCTCAGCGTCCCGGGGGCCCCGCGGCCCGGCGTCCACTCACTGCGCCAGCAGCTGCGGCCCCTTTAAGGATTTGCGGCGCCCTCCCGCCTCCTTTTTCTCGCGCACCGCCTCCTTCGCCCCGCCCCGCCCTTCCAGGAGCGCGCCTACGTCACCCCGCAGAACTCCGCCTCGCCTCGCCCTCGCGCCTGCGCCCCCAACCAGTGGCCGCCCTACTCGGGGCACGTGATTGGCAGAGCCTTCGCCGGAATGGGCGGGGAGAGGGCGGTCACCACCCTGCTGACCACTTCTGCCCGCGCCGCGCAGCAAGAGCGAGCCAATGGGCGCTGAGCTCTGGGCATGTGACCGGCCGGTGCCGCCTCTACCGGAAGGGGCGGGGAGAAGCGAGAGGGTGCCTTGACGTGCGGTTGGTTCCCAGGAGGCCGGGCACCTGGGCGGGGTCATCTCGGAGGGGCCTGGGAGTCCCCAGGCTGCGGAGTCGGGGCAGCAGGTATGGCCGCGCGGAGCCTCTGCCTTCGGGCTCGGGCGGGGCAGTGATCGTGGGGTCCCGCTCAGCCCCCAGCTCGCTGGCAGCGTCCATCGCTGTCCCGTACGGGGGAGCCGGGAGAGAAAGGTGCCTTGCTGGAACGTGGACTGCGGCGGCGCTCAGACGTTTCATCTTTGAAACTTTCTAGTTACACCGAGAGGCTTTGCTGGACTCGCCCCAGTGGCCCCCTGGTGGTCGTGTTTCCCAGGAAGTCGTCCCACTTGGCGGGGGCGTAGGGACCCCAGTGCCTGGGCACCTCTGCAGTGCCCAGTACTGGGGGGAGCTCGGTAAACATTCGATAGTAAAACTAAGAAGCTAAAGAACAGCTGGTAATTAAGCATCTCTGTGCTCCCTATTCCTAGATATGGATCAGAAACTTCCAGTGTTGGTAGAAGAGCTCACAACTTCCGGAGAACCTCAGCCGAATCCTGAGAAAATGAAAGAACTGAAGAAAATTTGCAAGTATGTCTGTGGGGCAGCGTTTCACGGTAGCCTGCGCAGTGAGCCCGTGGCATCTCGAGATTGTGGTGTCCCTGCAGTACAGCACCCCTCTGCTGTGCGAGCTGTCTCTGCCTGCCTCCACCCGGAATGAACCACGGCTCTGCAGAGCCAGGGCTCGGGCGAGTGTGTGGGTCGGGGAGCACAGAGAGGCTCTCCTCAGGCCACTTCTGGTCGGCCCACTTGGGGGTCTTACAAAGCACATAAACGATAAGCCCTCGGTGCGCAGATAGCCGTACGGTTAAATACGTATTGTTGGAACATGGAAAGAAGGTTCATGGTGCAGTGATTGCCTTTTTTTTGGCTGTGGATTGGGATGGAACCCAGGGCTGCAAGAGTGCTAGGCAAGCACCACCACTGACCCATGCCTCCCGCACATCGACTGGGGTACACCGCCACCCGCCGTGTGTTTAGGGTGAGCCCCCCAGGAAATGTCTATAGGGATCCTGCTAGGCCTTGCTTGTAGGTGCTGGAACATGAACCTAGGGTTACTGATTAATTCGTTTATAAAGCAAAGGAATTTGAGTGATCATTTATTAAATGAAAAAGTGTGCATCCTTCAGTAAAAAACTGCAGTGCTGACCAAGTTTTGCCTGCATCCACGAAAACCTGTTTTTGGTTTACACGGGGTGGGGGGGTAGGGGGGCCAGGGCTGGATCCCCACCTGAGGGCAGGGCAGGGGCTGCCGATTCTCCTGGAAAGGGCGCCTCGCTGCGTGGCTGTGAGGCCTGTGTTGCAACCACTCAACCCTGAAAGCAGCTGTGGCAGTGTGAACGGAGAGGTGGGCCGTATTCCGATGAGAACATTGACAGCCACTGATCTTTGAATCGTGATTTCTACATGTTAGAAATACTCTTACGTGTATCACGTTGTGTTGCTTAGGGTCAAACTGAGAACCTTGCATGTGCTAGGGAAGCCTTCTGAGTCTGAGCTACTCTCCCCCCCCCACCCCCCCCACCCCCCCGCCGCCAGCTGTTCAGCCCTTAAGAATGTAGAGGACAGGGCTGGGAATTTAGCTCCGTGGTTCTGGCGCTTGCCCGGCAAGGGCAAGGACCCGAGTTTGATCCCCGGTACCAAAAAAAACCCAACAGTGTGGAGGATATTCTTGGTGTGTGGGCCACACAGAAGTAGGCCAGGTAGTGGCGGCCTTTGGCCCTTGGGGGCGTGCCCGCCCAGCTCCCAGAGGGGATGGGGAGACTGGGCTGTGGCTGCCGTCCCTTCCACGTATGTGTCCCTGCACGAGGAGCGTAGGCTGACCTGACCTTCGTGCACGTGCTGGGCATTTGAGTCAGGCTGACTTGTGACCCCAGGTCTTCAGAGGAGCAGCTCAGCCATGCCTACCGCCTGCTGATGACCCAGCTGAGCCAGGACCATGCCGAGATCCGCCTCTCCACTTTCCAGATTGTGGATGAGCTCTTCACCAGGTCTCACCAGTTCAGGCTGCTGCTCGTTTCCAACTTCCAGGAGTTCCTGGAGCTCACACTGGGCACGGACCACCAGCAGCCCCTGCCACCTCCCAGGGAGGCAGCCCGAAGGCTGAAGCAGGCAGCCATGCACGCTGTGGAAGGGTGGAATGAGCAGTTCGGCGAGGCCTATAAGAAGCTAGCCCTGGGCTACCACTTCCTAAGACACACCAAAAAGGTGAGTGGGTCTTGCCCAGTGCTGTCGGGTTCCCCAGGGCCGGATCGGCAGATCTGGGTGGTGGGGTGGAAGAGCTCCCTGTTGAGTCTAGTGCAGGCCAGGTGGGCAGAGCTGCTGAACTGCCTGGGGGAGAGCAGCATTCCAGGTGCCAGGGTCACACGTGCACCCCATCCTGGGATGGTTCCTGCCCCACCCTCACACCCACAGTCCCTTCAGAACCCACTGTGGCTCAGGCTGTCCTGGGTCTGATGAACCCATCCAGGGTCTGCTCCTTTGTCTCACCCAACCCCGTCGCTGCCCAGAGCTCGCCATGCTCCTCCGCAGGCAGATGGCCTGGCCTTCCTGTGGGCCAGCCGCGTGCCACCCTCAGGCACCTCAGGCTCATACCTTGATGGTGCTGAGGCCGCTTTGCTGCTAGCCTGTGTCTCGCTGGCCCCTGAAAGTGTTATTTCTTTTATTTTTGTCCATTTTTAAATTTTGAGATGGTCTTGCTGTTGCCCGGGCAGGCCTTCCACTCCTGAGCCTAAGCAGTCCTGCTTCCTCCTTCTGGGTAGCTGGGGTGACAGGTGTGCCACTGTGCTCAGCTGGGGGCTGGAAGTCTTTCTACACCCACCCCCCCAGCTCCCATACTGAGGGTTGAACTCAGGGCTTTCGCACTGAGCTACATTCTCAGCCCTTTTTACATTTTTTTGTTTTAAGGCAGGGGCTCACTTAAGTTGCTGAGGCTGGGCTTTAAGTTGCATTCCTCCTGCCTCAGCCTCCAAGACTGCCAGGATTTCACCTGTACTGCCTCACCTGGGTGGGTTTTTACTTTTACCTCAGGTGGCAAACGTGCGTAGCCAGGCAGCAAAGTCAAGTGCTTAAAACGCTGTGGACCAAGCCTGGGGCCCCTGGTGCACACTGCCCTCCATGGGCCTGTCTGTGTGTACGTGTGCGTGCCAGGCAGTCCCTGTCTTTGTTGTCAATTTCTCAGGTGGATTTTCAGGATGTGAATGCCAGGACTTTGGCAGAAAGGAAGCGGGAAGAAGAAAAGCAGAAGCACTTGGATAGGATCTACAGAGAGAGAGCCGAGCAGGCCGAGAGGGAGATGGAAGGCGAGTTTCCAGGCAGGGCCCATGCCTGTCTTCTCCCACTGCCTCTGCTCGGAGCCTCGGGAGGCCGGCAGGCTGGACAGAAGGCTCTGGATTGGGCTGCGCCTCTGCAGGCCGCCTGGTTTCCTGGCCTCTGGGGGCTTGGCTTCACCTGTGGTCATTTGCTGTGAGGCTGGGGTGGACTTGGTAGAGGCTGGGTGCCCCAGGTGGCCTGGCTGCACCTTCTCACCCACTCATCTCATGGTCCCTTTCGCTCTCACCAGCACCCTTCCCAGAGTCTGCACCAGTACTTCCTGTCAGCCAGCCCTGGTGCACATCACAACCCAGGTGCAAAGGCCTAGGGGTGCAGTTGCTCACCTGCAGAGCCCCCCAAAACAGGCTGAGACCACTGGCACATTTAGAGGTCTGCGTGCCTGCGGGGCCCCCACAGATACCTGTCCTGGGTGCAGATGTCCCCATGGCCACCCCCGGCCAGCCCAGGGGTGAATCCGGGCTCGGGGGAACCCTCAGATGAGAAGCTTTGCCCGGGGATGGGGAGGCTGCCTTCAGGGGGAGGGTGCAGGGTGGTTGGTGTGTGACTGCCCTGCGTACTGGGGCACAGTGTCCCGTGGTGGTGGCAGTGATGTGCGCTCCCATGGCTGCCAGTGGCTTGTGGGGTGGTGAGGAGCTGCTGTGACCCAGCCCTCGGGGTGCTGGCTTTCCCTGGCAAGGAGACCCCTCCCTCACCTGCAGCTGGACGGTACCCCCCAGTGAGTGGGCCTGGTAGTTTGGGCCAGGCTCCCTTTTGCTAGTCTTAGTCAGCAGGCTCTTTCTTGGCAGAAATGTCTGAGGAGATTGGCCGCTGTCTGATGGAGGTGGAGAGCTGCTTCAAGCTGCTGGTGCCCTTGGACCTGGGTCCAAGCCCTCCAGCTTCGGAGTTTTCCCCTCACGCCTCGGGCCCTGGCTGGGCTGCCCTTCACCGATCTGTTGGCCCTGACCCCCAGGATGAGGAGCAGCCATGCTGCAGCAGAGACCTGCCTGCCTCTGCACACCACGCAGGAGCTGCTGGTAGTGGGGAGGGGCTGCCCCAGATAGCACCGGGGGATCCGTCAGAGGAGGAGGAGGAGGACAGTGACGTGGAAGAGTTTGTGCGGAGCCATGGGCTTGGCTCTCACAAGTACACGCTGGCCGTGGAGCTGTCCTCAGGTAAGGGGTCCCCCAGGCTGCCCGATCCTCCCGCCCCACCCTTCCGGGTGTCCTGTGGTGAGCCGAGCTCAGGCCTGTGGGTGGCACCCCAGGTGTTTCCATCCTGTCTTGACGTGCCGGGTGATGGAGTTGCGCATTTGCAGCTTTAGGGTCCAGTGGCTTCGAGTCACCCTCTTTGGAGCTGCTGCCCATTGGAGCTGGTAGAGCAGGTGCCCTTCCCCAGGGTGAGGCAGCCAGGTGCCCGCTGTGGGAGCCCTTGGACCCCACCCTCTGGCCGTGGTGCCAGGCGTGAGGAGGCAGGTTGCCCTCCTGCAGGCTGTCTTGGTGTAGTGCATGGCTGCTCACCAGACGCCACGAGCCTGTGGTGGGGAAGCTGCCCCAGAGGCCATGTGTAAGTGGGTACCTGCCTGAGGAGAGGCTGCGTAGCTGCCAGGTGGCCGCTGAGCCCCCGCTGGGAGCAGGGCCAGCCTGAGTGGCAAGATGGCCATGCACCCCTGGGACAGAGGGCTGTTGCCGTGCTCACCCTCTGGGTGGCAAGGGGTGTCAGAGCAGGAGGACCACCTCGGGGAGGAGCCACACACTCCTGTCCAAGGCCCCATGAGTCTCCTTCCTGGGGACACATGCATGGGGGAGCAGGCACCTCGTGTGTTTAGAGGGTTTTAACAGGGTCCGCCTGACCCCCTGCCTCCTTCAGACAGCCTGAGGGTGCAGGAGAATGAGGACAACCTTGCTGTCCTCCACGCTGCCCGAGACGCGCTCAAGCTGATCCGGAACAAGTTCCTTCCGGCTGTGAGCTCCTGGGTTCAGGTAAGGCAGGCACCTGACCCTTGACCCTTGGTGCCCCAAGCTAGCTGAGAGGCCGGGCACAACAGGAGTGTGGACGGTGGGCTGTGGGATCAAAGGAGGATGTGCAGAAAGGGCCAGGCACAGGGCTTATCATCAGGGGGACCTGAGCCCAGGCCGTGAGCCACCCTGCCTGGGAGGGCTCCGTCCCTTCCCACAGAGCCCGGTGTGGAAACCGGCTTCCTCATGGGCCCTGGTGACTCCCTTGGCTTTGCAGCGGTTTACCCGAGCTGGGGCCCATGGTGGACACCTGAAGCGTGCCATTGACCTGAAGATGGAATTGGAGTTCGTGCTGCAGAAGTACAAGGAACTTGACATTGAGCCCGACAGTGGGCAGCACCAGGTACGTGTGGGCTGAGAGTGTGCTAGTCTGGGTCTGACTTGGTCCTGCACAAGCAAGAGCGGCTGGGGCTCCAGAAGACCCTGTTCCTCCCTCTCGGTGCAGACGTGTGCAGTAGGAGCCCCAGACAGCCTTGCCTGGGGCAGAGGGGTGCAGGGTAGGGTGGCCTCCAGTGGGTACTGCCCTCGAGTCATGTGCACCACCGGGCATGATGTTCCTGCTGCCAGTGCTCTCTGCTCATCCCCTGTGTGGTTCCGCACCTCCACCCTGACAGAGTTGGGGGTCCTGGGGACACCAGAGTCAGCCAGGGCAGATCCCAGGGTGAGCGTGGGCACTGTGCTGACTGTCGGGGAGACTTGAGGCTCCTGTCTGCTGGACCCTGTGGCACCTCGGCCCCAGAAGGGACCGAGGTTCCTGAGGGGAGGGCTGGGCCCCTCATACCCCTGAGTACAGGGCACCTGGCGATGGCTGTTGCGGGATTGTGTGCTGGGAGGCGCCAGTGCACTGGGACCAGCACCGGGTCCCCACTGCCTCAGGGGTGCTGGGGTCCCAAGGGGATTTCCACAGTGGCCTGCAGGGAGCGGGGCTGCACTTAGCACTGTTGGATCTAGGGGAACCACAGCTGGGCCCTCACGCACAGCTGACCACCCTCCTACGCCTGTGGCATCTCTTGTCTGCTTCAAGACGGAGGGAGACCCCAAATAGCCACTCCCTGGGAGCCCAGGCTCCCAGTGGGGCATGCTGGCCCTGCCACCCCTACTGTTGACGGTCACTTTCAGGTGGAAAGAGCACTGTTTTTGCTGAGGAAACGTTCACGTTTGGAGCCACCCAGAGGCCCAGCCTAGGACCCAGGGAGAGCAACACCCTGTGCAGCTCTCAGGGACTACCAGACTGCGCCGGGCAGTGCCCCATGGGCAGGTGGTGTGGCCCCAACCCTGGAGTCCAGAGGGTCCTATCTGAGCATGGCTGCGTGGATCGCTACCCGGCCAGCAGAGGGCGGTCTTGCTCCTCTCTTAAACCTGCAAATCCAAGCATTGTGGTGACCCTGGGGCGCTTGGGCTGCGGCAGGCTGTGCTGGCCATTTTGTGGGTGCTTCGTGGTACCTTACAATTACTGATGCAAGAATTGAGCGCAGTGCAGAGTGATTTCCTGGTGTGAAGGAGGTAGTTGCTCCTGTAGGCAGGTTGACAGCCAAGATGCTGCAAGGTCCTTAGGACAGCGGGGCTGGCTCTGGTGCTGGAGTCCCGGGGTCCCCTTTCTTCGTGCCTAAGGACCAGCCTATGACATGGCCTTGTGCTGAGGTGCACCCGGTTCTTCCTGTCAGGGTTGGGCCAGGCCAGGCTAGTCTTCTGTCCATGGTGGTCGTGTTGCTAGTGGCCTCACCATGGCAGCTGGTGCTCCAGGGCATGGCCACCGGGCTTCAGGGTAGCACAGTCTGGTCTTGCCAGGCCTGGACATCACCAACCTGTGTGGACCTTCTAGGGCCAGCAACAGAGCCAGGGCTGGTCAGACCCCATGCTTCTGTGTCCAAGGCTCCAAATGGACCAGCGGTAGAGCAGACCTGCACTCTCCTGGTCAACTCCAGGCCAGCACCTCTGGGGCTGCGGCTGGGTCCCCAGAGCACGGGGCACTGAGGCCCTCCTGCGTGGTGCCTCCTGCCCACAGCGCCACCCGACCTGCTGGGACAGCCATGCTCCCAGGAAGACTGAGTGAGGCCTTGGACCACACTCTCTGGTTTCCTTGACTGCCTGCCCAAGCCCCACCAGCTGCCCTATCCCCCTGCAACCTCAGCTTCCTGCTGCCAGCTGCTTGGGGTTGCCATGCCCCACTGTTGGTTAGCAGGGTCGGGTACACCTGCATGGTTCCCATCAGGGCTGGGCCATTTCCAAGTTCTTATAGGACGGGGACACAGTGGTGTCAGGCCTGGGCCTGCTAGAGCCACCGCCACAGCTTCACATGGAGTGCAGCCCTGACCTGGTGTAGTGCAGAGCCTACCACTGTCCCCTAAACCTCATTGCTCCTGCAGGCCCCGTCTTAACCCACACATTGTTCTCCCTCGGGCCTGAGTGGTGTACTGTGGCCTGTCTGTGAGTCCTGCAGTGGGGGCCAGCCCCTCCCGCCATGCTGTCCGGCCTGCAGGCTCCTGCCAGGCCACAGTGCAGGGCATGGGCTGCTGCTGTCCTCAGGGTGCAGGGCTCGCTGGCTGTCATGGCACCCTGCTCTGTTGTCACCTGCTAGGCCCTTCTCCAAAGACTGATTTAACAAGAGGCAGTGCCCTGAAGTCCTCGGGACTTTGCTCCCCAAGGCTGGAGTGAGCCTCCGCCTGCATTTGAGGTGATTGTTGGCTGGGGCTGAGAGTGGCAGCGCCTGGCCCGGGTGAGTGCCGCTTCCCAGAATAGACAAGGTATCTGTCCATCTCATTCCTGCAGCTCCGCTCGCTCCCCAGCGCCTGCAGGGCTGCTGCTCAGCAGTGGCCTGTGCGGGCCAGGTGGGACCAGTGAATGAATGGCTGTTCATTAGAGGTGTTTTAATTAGAAATTATGAACGAGGTGTTCTTCGCTAATTTTCAAATAAAATTTATGGAGGGTTTCAATCATTTCCATCGGTGTTTCCCCATTTAGCACGGGATGGGCATCGTTAACTCTGCGTGTAGAACAGGCTGATCAGGCAGCCCTAATTCAATAGTGCGTGATTTAAATATCTTAGAACTTCTAACAAATGTGTAAGAGACCGAAGGAATTATGACGTCACCTGTCAGGCTGAGATGACAATGGCCCAGACCCCGCAGAGCCGTCGGTGGGCATGGGCGGCCCTGGGGCACACGAGGCACCTCTTCCCACGGCCCCTTCCTCTGCTGTCGTTGGTTGCTGCGTAATACCGCTTTCCTCTTGACATAGATGTTCTGTCTTCAAAAAATACTTAAGCCGGTTTAAATATGCCTAAGTGTCTGTTTTATAGAGCGTCTCCATCAGAGCCGTCGGAGGCCAGCGGGGATAAATCTGAGCTGGATCGATGTGGAGGCTCATTGGGCAGATTTAGTTTCCACCCGGCTCCGTTACAGGCGAGCAGGAATAACCCAAGGCTGCCTCATTCGTTAAACTGATAAAAATCCTTTGAAAACTTTAAAATTGCCTGCCTTTTAATTACGTAGCCCGCATCACGAGTTATTTCTCCTTGTGTAATTAACAAAATACTAATTTCCCCGGCCGTGGGTCGGGAGGCATCACTGGCGGCGGCCTTCCCCCTTGCTGGGGCCACGGCACCAAGTGGCGTCTCTGGGCCTGGCTGTGCCGGCGCCTCCTGCTGCAGGACACCCAGCTGTGTGCTGCAACCAGCCAGGCCCTGCTGTGTTGGGGGCGCTTTCCTGGGTGCCTAGGGGCTCCTGGCCTCCTGTAGGTGAAAAGGACAGAAGCAGAAACCCCAGGGAATGAAATGTTGAACCCATCAGGCTCAGGCAGGGGAGGCAGGGAAACTAAATCAGCCTTGCAGGAAGCCTCGTGCCGTGCCGCAGCAGGGCCGGTAAACCCCCTCTTCATCACACTGAAGGCCGAGCCTGCAGCACAGCCGCGCGTTGGTGTTCGCTGGGGAGGGCTGGGGCCTGGGCGCCATCCCTCCAGGCCAGACTTTGAGGGCGGGAGAGTATCACAGTCCTGGCCCAACCCATGCCAGCCACTGCCACCGCTGTCCCCTGGGCACGCCCCCTCTGAAGGTTCCCAGCCCCCTGAGCTGGTCTTTTCAGATGCCCTCGCATTAAGCTTCTGATTCCAGAAGCAGCCGTGGGATGGGCTGTCTCCTTACACCTCCTTTACGGATGAGAACGCTGGCAGACCTGTGTGAGCTTGGCCTTTGCAGCCTGGCAGGAAGGCCGCCTGGTGTCTGCCATGCGCAGCTTGGTGTCCTGGCCCAGCAGCGCTCTCTTGCTCCCTGGAGCTGGCCTGCTGCTGCACCCTGGCCACTGTCCCAAGCCAGCAGGCTGTGATGGACGCCCTGTCCCCTGTCAGGCATGGGGCTCCTGGAGCAGCCTGGCGGGTTCCCTCCTACCCTGCCCAGGCTTTGTGGAGCCTGTGGGGGGTCGCAGTTATTAGGCTTGTAGTGCGGTGCCTCTGAAGTGATTACACACTCCATTGGGTGTGATGTCGGTTTGTGTAAGTTTCAGACGACCCCACGATGTCGTGACCTGCCTCTCTGCGCCACTCACTCCACTCTGAGGGGACACATCCAGCGCGGAATCCCCCGGCACCTGGCCCGCGTTGCCTGGGCCTCAGCCCTCGTGGTCGGCAGTGTCCACACCCACCTTGCTGGCTCTGGAGAGGGGCCTCCCCGTGTGTGCGACCGGGCCTCTTGCCTCAGGCTGCCCAGTGGGCTGGACACAGCTCTTGGGTCCCAGCAGCCTGCTGTGCACGCAGGCAGCTCCAGGACTGTGCCTCTGCACTGCGGAGTGTTGGCCTGTGATCCTGTCAGTGAGCACAGACTTAAGAGCCATTCCTGAAGTCGATGGCTCACCTCGGTGTGATTTTCAGACCTGCCCGCGTCCTGCAGTTTTGCCATGGGCCTGGCGCAGATGTCTGCTCTCGAGTGCCCGCGTGGTCAGCAGCGTGGCCACCCTGTCCTCTGAAGGTGCGTCCCTGGCAGCCGGAGATGCACATGAGATATTGGCCTGGCCGGCAATTTGCACGGCCTTCCAGGGAGGGCATTAGCATATAAATAGCAGATGCAATGACGACCATCACAGCTGAGCACGTTTAATTTTTAGTTTATAAGATAGAATGGGTTTTTAAATGCATAGCCATCAAGCCGCTGAAAGACAAATGCAGCTTGGAACTCACTTGTCTGACGAGGCCTTACATCATTTTTTTTTAAAAGGGAAATAGACACACATAAAACTGAACAAAAGTGATTTCTTGGGTGAAAAGTAATTGAGATTGCGCACCAAGTTAATTAGATCGTACAAAATTTATTTAATGGTCCCAGCTGTATCTGCAGGCCATGGGCTGGGTGGGCGCCCGCTTCCCGGGCACTACGCTGAGCTTCCCTTTCCTTCGCAAATAACTAGCAATCTCACTGCCCCTCCCCTGTAAACTGATTGTGTTGTATATTTTAGCCATTTTATTGCTTGTTTAATTATGATCGTGGAGACTCATTTTTCTAAATCCTTTTAACTGTGGGTGAGAATCCATTGTGTGAAATTGTGCCCCCGCATCGGGACGGGAAGAAGGAGGGGTCAGCACTTGCCGCCTGGGGACCAGCTTGGCACGAGGCCTCCAGGGCTGGGGCGGCACCAGTCAAAGCCCACGCCTGCTCCTGTTGGTGTGCTTGCGGGGTTGGCTCTGTGCTGGGTGGGTTCGAAGCAGACTGCTCCGGAGAAATTACCAAGTCCGGCCCATCTTGAAGACCGCCTCAGCCCTGATGCCCCCTTGCGGGGCGTGAGCTTTCCCAGCACCTCAGCCGGCGCCCCTGTGTGTGGCCCCTCCTGGGCTGCTGTGACCTTGAGGGCAGGTCGCCACCACAGGGCTGTGGGCCCCACCCAGTTCATTGCTAGCCTCGGGCTGTGCTCCACCACACCAGTTTTTCACAAGTGTCCCTGCAGCTGCTGGCTTAGCGCTTCCTCTGCCTTCCTCGACAGCAGCAATGCCGTGGCAGGTGCCACACGTCCAGCACACCTGACAGGTGTCCAGGAGAACTCGGTGCACTGTGAACTTGCAGCCTCCCTGTGCACCAGCAGGGAACAGAAGCCTGAGCAGGAGGCTTTCAAGTTTAACCTCAGTGTTGGCAGCGGAGTCTGCATTCCGGTTGCTGTGGTCTGAATGGCCCAGGCTCTGAGTTCCAAAGTACATCCTGGGAGTGGAGGGCTGTGTGCTCCACCTGAGAGAAAGCCCCAGGGTCTTTGTAGAGCAGAGACCGGCAGGGAACCCTGAGCCTCATGAGGGCTAATTTAGGAACAAAGAGGAACCCAGGACTTCTAATTTAATCACAGAAATAAACGATTTCAGTTGGGGAGGAAGAGGTATAATTCCCAACAGTTAGCTAAGCAGTTGAATATTTTTTAGGAAATGAAAATTTGATAAAAGTCCCTGGTGAAATTCAAGGGTGTAAGCAATAAGCATAATATTTTATGAAAATGACCCCCATATTTAAAACCTGGCACTATATGTTATGCATTGTAGCACCCAGTCCACATCTACCTTTTAGAAAATTAAAACACATAAATTCTGTTTAGTGTGTGAGCCACTCTGCGCGAGTTGGGAACCGTAATGCCCTAAAACCTTGGGCTGCTCTCCACCTTTCATAAATTCCTGGGTAGATTCTATACAAAAATAATTTTCAGGTCCGTGGCTCATTGTTATTCAAACGTGATTGATCGTCGTCATTTGCTCAGCTCGGGAGTTAAGTGCCCCTGTCATTTCCAAAGAGTATAATTGGGACGTTTCACAGGTCAGCGGTGGAGACAGGCTTCCCTTTTGATCAGTGTTAGACTGATAACAAAAATTACAGTTTCCGATGATTAATGTCTCCTGTGCTTCCCAGATGCACAGCCGTGGGCCGCACCTAAACAAAGTGCATTTGCATCTGATTATGCTCGGGGTGGTGGGAGCCTCCGGCTGGAGGACCCAGCCTAAGGCTTGGCCAGACGTGGCCCCAGGCTGGGCTCCATGGCCCTGCGTCTGCCAGCCGGGATCTCCCAGGTGAGCAGTGGCCGCTGCAGTCCTGTTCTCAGCCAGCTGCCACTTGCTTAGGCTTGGCTTCCAGTGACTGAGGGGGACACAGGGCAGCAGCCCCTGCTCGATCTCTTGTACTCCTCAGGAGGCAGCACCGAGACCGAGCGCCTTTGAGGGCCAGGTGCCCAAGTTGTTTTAAAGTTTTTCTGTGGTGACCTGCTGGAGCCCCCTGCTTGGCATTCATGCAACAGAGGCCTTTCTGGATGCCTCCTTCACCAGGGCCTGCAGCTGTGGACTGGGTGTGGGCCCTGGCTGCCCCCATCCGCTGTGGCCCTGGCAGTGATGTACTCCGCGTAGCCATGGCCCGACCTGCAGCAGCACTGGGCAGGCCAGGCCTTTTGCCTTAGCACCACCCACCGAGGTGGCGGGGAAGAGGGCGTGGGCGCCAGAGAGCTCCTCCTGAGGTCTCCAGGCCTCCAGCCTGATAGGCTCCGCTGTGGCCTCCTCAGGCTGACCGCCCGTGGGAGCTCAGGAGACCAGCACAGGGCTGGGGCCTGAGCTGCAGGAGAGTCTGCGCCGGGCGGCTGTCCTTGTGTGGGGGCGGCTGTCTGTCAGCACCTGGGGGTGACTCGGGGTGTCTCCGCAGACAGCAGTGCTGAGGCACGAGGACGATGAGGATGACGAGGACTTTGTGGAGGTCCCGGAGAAGGAGGGCTATGAGCCCCACATCCCCGACCACCTCCGGGCCGAGTACGGTGAGCTGCGGGCGTGGCCGGGGTGCCTGGGAGGAGGCCCCATGGGATGCGGCCCGGGCATGGCCTTGGTGAGCGGCCCCTGGCCTGTCCCGCTGGCCCATGCCCAGGGCGGTGTGGTGACTGCTTCTGGCATTGCCTGAGGAGGACATCTCCCCTCCTACAGCGCCCCACCATGGCCAGGGACTTCGTGCGGGCCCACAGGGTGATGGAGGGGAGCTGCTGGGCCCAGGGACACCCCCATTCCCCAGCCTCCTCCCCGGCCCACGGCTGGGCAGCGGGAGTGAGCTGTGGAGCCCTGACCGCAGCAGGAGAGGCTCCCACCCTTGCAGAGGAACCTGAAAGCCGCGCCCAGTGCCCTAGGGAGAGGTGTGGCGGAGGAGCCCGACCCCTGGAGAGGAGGACCGTGGGCCGTGGGCCACCGACAGGTGGCAGGCGCTTATGCCCAGGGGAAGCAAATAAAACGGCCTCCCCTTTTGTCACAAAGTAGCCAAGTCGGTTGGAACTGGAGTCTGAGATGAAATGTAGATTTGTTAGGAAGAGTTTAGATGATGAGCCAACTGGAGTGTGAAGACATGACCCATTAGGGGTGTCATGCCAAATTAGCACGGCCGAGCTGCTAACAGCCCCATCTCCCCACACAGTGGAGCCCGGAAAGAGGCCGGCTGTGCCGGCTAGCCCACGGTGCCTAGGGGGACGGGGCTGCTACCCGGACACAGCTGCCTGCCTGCCTGCGCAGCCCAGCCTGCCTCTCGCACCGGCCAGTCTGTGCCCTCACAGGGCTCCGCAGACGTGGGGCCTCCTGTGACCCAGCCCCCCGGCCCACACGCCAGTCTCACCGCGGGGTCTTGCTCCCTTCCCGCCTGGGCTGAGATCCCAGTGGCTGCAGCCTCACCAAAGGTTGGCCACTGAGCCTGGGTGCCAGGGAGTGTGGGCGCTCTGCTGGGGGCTGTGAGCTCCCTGCCAGGATGCTCTGCCCCTTGGCCAGGTGAGCTGTGGCCTGCCCAGCCCCTCTCCTCTCCGCGGGCACCTGTGCACCCCGCCTGGGGCCTGGTCTCCCCTGAGGTCCTCCCACCCCATGCCCTGGGCCAGCCTGGACCTTCCAGGGTCTCCAGGGGAGCCTGGCAGCCAGTGCCGCCCCTTGGCTATGGTCAGACCAGGGTTTCCTTGTCCAAGGCCTCTGTCTGTCCCATCCAGTTGCTTCCAGGCCCTTCGGGCAGAACTTGGGATCTGATGGGGCTGGGATGGTGGGAGCCGCTCTCCTCAAACCTCATCCTGTTCCAGCCACGCGGAGCAGGCCCAGAAGTGAGTGGCAGACAGGAGGGCTGTTCTGAGGACAGCGCATTCTGTCTACCACAGCATGAGTGTCCCTCGGCCTGGGGCCGGGAAGCAGCCAGGGATCCAAGGAGCATCAGCAGCCTCTGTTCATGGTGCTCACTCACGCTGCCGGCAACTTTATGTTCAGGAAACGTTGCACAAACATCCCCAATGGCCGCAGCAATGGGGCCCTGGCCAGTCCTGTGTCCCCAGGCTGGGCCCCTGCAGGTTGCGCCTGCCGGCCAGTCGACTCCTCCAAAGCTGATCCCCAGGGCCCTGCACTCCTGCTTGGGGCTGCGAGCTGCAGCGATGTCCTAGCCCAGGGTTCCCGGTGCCCCCGGGCTTGGGACCCCAGCCTGGCTCCAGGCAGGGTTAGAGCCTCTGTGCCAGGTGGCCCCGGTCCAGAAACCCTGCGGTCTTAGCAGGGGCTGTGGGCCACCCCATCCCGGGCCCTGGTGTCCATCCTCCCTGGCCCGTCCTAGCTGTGAGGACCTGGGAGGGAGGAGCAGAGACCCTGGCGGTGTCTCTGGGAAAGGCTGTCACTCCACCTTTGACCTGCGCCCTCTCCTGGTCTCCAGCAGGCCACCGAGCTTGTGTATGGGTCTGGCCATCTGCACAGCTCAAGGCCAAAACGGGGGACCCAAAGGAGGAGCCGTGGGCCCCGACTCCAGGCTCGGGAGGCTGAGCGGGTCAGTCCCGGAATAAGCCCTCCACTCTGCAGCTCTGGAGGCCTCGGAGCCCACAGAAACTGCCAGGCGAGCTCAGTTCATAATACTAGTTTATATTCTGTCACTGTTTTTTCAATTAAACGTAGGTGAATCTGAAGTAGTTAGATTTAGTCTAAATCCACACGGCTGAGGAAATCGGGCTCTTTTCTTTCTCATTTCTTTCTCTGCATTTTCACGGAGGGGCTTTTATCTTCCCCTTAATCCTACCATTTCTGTCAGGACATAATCTCTTTCTCAAATTTACATTTTAATTACAAGGCCAGCTGAACGGGGTAGAATCAATAATGTCAGGCTCGGCAGCCTAACTTTGTGCGGAGCCCCAGCCTCTCCGTTTCCTGCTATCGATTTATCTCCCACACTGTCTGCTTCAGGCAAATAGGTGCCACTTGGGCAATTTAAACAAAAAGGGGATTTGGACATTTTTATGATTCTTTCTAAAAGCAACCACAGGAGTACATTTGAGAGGAGATACTGTGCTCGGGTCAGATGCTGCAGGCCGCGCTGGGCGGCCAGGCTGCCCCTCGCCCTTCCCTGGACGTGGCTCAGGGCCTGCAGAGGGCTCTCTGCTTCGGGGCTCACTTGGAAAGTCTGTCAGTGAGATTGATTTTCCACGACAGTGTGAAAATGGTAGTGTGTTGGGTGCCCTGAGTGTTTACCCTGCTCTAACACGCTTACCCATCTTCTTAATGGTTTAAAACAACAAATCAATGAAAAATATATTTCATTCTTGTAACTCTCAGGAATTCTCATATTGATCTCTGGCTGCGATTGTATCTATCTAAATGTCACATTGTTCACTTATCAGTCTTGCTGCCCCAGCTGTGTGTGCACACGTGTGTGTGCATGTGTGGCCAGCAGCTGGTGCCCTGCCCGCATTCTGGGCCAGCATTTCCAGGTCTCTGTGGGCCGACCTGGGCATTGACAGCGGGAGTCGCTGGCACTTGCACAGCACACCTGGCCCAGGCCCTGCAGCTCCAGGGGCCTTGAGGGGCTGACAGCGACCAGTTAACCTTTTCCATGGCCTCGTCCGTGCTCTCTGCTCTGAGAGGGGTCAGCACACGTTATCCACAAGGCCTGGATAGGAAGTGCTCTTGGCTTTGTAGGCCACGTGAGGTCCCTGTCCTGTTCCTCAACTGAGAAGCAGCCTCCAGCAGGGTAAACAGTGGCTTTATTCACTGGGCCGGGACTGCCAGGGCATCCTGTGAGGTGGACCCAGGGATCACCGCCCTCCCCGAGCAGCACCCTGCCGAGGGCTGAGCAGTCAGTCTGCACCTGCGCGGCAGCTCTGTCCACGGTACCAGCCTTCATGTCCCCTCCACGTGTGTGCCGCCTTAACTTGCATCCCAGACTTCTTCTTGTTTAGAATCCAGACCTCCGGGTATGTGACGTCCCCTCTGCCATCTTCGGCTCTCGGTTGTGTGGTGACTGGTCACCCCTGCACCCCGAGCTCTCAGTTCTGCGGCCAGGAGCATGGGACCCCCAGCCTTTCCTCGGGGCTGGACCAGGTGCTTGATGGTTGCTGCTCCCTCAGATCCCCCATGCTCTGCCAGCTGGACTTGCTCTTTGATTTGCTGTGACTGCTGTTACTGTTTGGTTTTCCTCTTCCACTTGTTTGTTTGTTTGGGGGCCAGGGTTGGTACCGGGGATCGAACTCGGGTCCTTGCACTTGCACAGCAAGCGGCAAAACCCACTGAGCTAAATCCCCGGCCCTTCTCTTCCACTTTTTATTTGCTAGAATAGCTCATCTCCAGCAGGATTTCTCCTTCTGGTCCTTCCTGGTTTCTCAGAGGTTCCCATGTGGATTTGTCATTCATGGTTTCTTTGTATACTCTGCAGTGCTGCGGATTGAACCCGAGGCCACCTGTGAGCTGAGCACACGATTTCCCGCTGAGCTAGACCCCCGCCTCCTCTGCCTCTCCCTTTCCTCATGGGAGACACTGACTGGGCCCCTGGGTGTCTTTAAACCTGCAGCTCCTCTGTGTCTGCTGCACTCGGCTTCCAGCAGCATTGCCAGCCAGTCTTTGCCCTGTCTCTGCTGGTACCCAGTAAACCCTCTGCTTGTAGAATTTGTCTCCGGCTGCTTTTCCCTCCTCCTGGATCCCAGACTGAAGGACATTGGTCCTCGAGGGTCCACCCATCACACCTCCAAACGTGCTGCTCACGTGGCTGCTGCCGCCCTCTACCCTTCTGCCATCCAGCGAGTAACTTCCCCAGCCTTTTTCTGCCTTGTCCTCAGGGTAGGATGTACCCCTCGTGCCTCTGCTGCCACGCTTCCGTGCCCTGCATGCATCCTCCGTTCTTATGAATGTGGAATGTGCTATTTTTTGCCTGGCCTGGGACACATTGCTCATATGTCTTTTTTCTTCCCTGGCTTCATACTCTTGGAACCTTCAGCTTTCCTCCTGGTCTGCGCTGTACCCTCAGCTGGCTGGTGGGACCTGGGAGGAGGGGCTGTGGTCCAGGGTGCTTGCCCCCAGGACAAGTCCTAACCCAGACCTCCTAACACTTGGCGTGCTCACCCGAGAGGAGCCTTGAGGGCCGGGCAGGCCTGAGAGCTGGACCAGGTCCCGCCTAAACAGGAGAGTAAGGCAGCCAGGGCCAAGCATGGCATCCTGTCTGCCCCTGTCTTCCTGCGGACGTGAAATCCCTGCCGCATCCCACGGGGAAGTTGGTGAAGCGCCAGGGCTGTGGCTCTGTCTGGCTGGTGGCAGTGGGGTGTCCACTGTGACACCCCCCGGACCTGGGCATCTGCCCAGCAGCTACAGGGAGGCTGACTCCAGGGCCAGGCCAGCTCCAGCTGCCCCTGGCACCTCTCAGAGGCCACAGCTAAGCCAGGAGCGGCCAGGGCTGGGCCCAGGACAGAGGTCTCAGGGCAGGAGATGGCTGGGAACAGAGCTGGAAGCACTGTCGCCTTCCCTCTTGACTCAAGGCTCGGCGAGGATGTCCACTGTGCTCCTGGGTGGCCCGTCTACACCGTGGGCAGCCTTGCCCTGGGTCCTCGTGGGGGTCGCTTATGGGTTGGGGCCAACCAGCTATGGCCATGCTGCGCAGGCTGGGGTGGCGCCCACCTGGGTCCCTGCCCTGCATCCATGGCATCCCACTGAGTGTGGCCCTTGCCCAAGAGGTGGTGGCGACAGGACCGCCTCGCAGGCCATCAGACGATGACACTCATTCATGCGTGTGTGCAGCGTCCTGCGGCCAGGCCTAGGCCCCAAGGGACAGCTGCGTAGAGCTCAGGTCCCAGCTCCACATGGAGGTCAAGGGTGGACACGTGTCTTTTTCAGGGCTGGAGACAAAGGCCCCACTGCAGACCCTGGAGCAAGACGCAGCTGCACGGGGTGCTCAGGCGAGGAGGAAGACCCACAGGGAGGAGGAGGCATCGGACCCCACCTCTGCCGCTGCCCAGTTGTGTTGGCTGCAGGACCGCCTCCCTCCAGCCTTGCCCTCTCCTGCCAGGTGACTCCAGGTGTCCTTGTTGCTGGTCCAGAGCATGACCAGCCCGGGTCGGCTCCAGGCCCCTGGTCCTGGGGCAGCCTGGGGTTGAGGCGCAGCCCTGGCTGGGTGCCGCTGGCTGCCATCTGTCTGGAATGGCACTAGGCACGTGCCTGGAAGCACCAGTGCATCAGCCAGGGTTTAGGGGCCACCGCTCACCCTCTGAGAGGCCCCAGGCTGGGCTACTGCTCTGAGGTTGGGGAGCAGGGGTCAGGCAGCACCCGAGTGGCCAGGGGCTGTGGCCAGAGGCCACGTCCAGCCAGGGCATTCAAGGCCTGAGCCCGCATGGCTCTGGCCACAGCTCCTTCCTGCTACCCAGGCTGTGCCTGCACAGGAGGGTGGGAGGGGTGGTGGCTGCAGTCCTCCCCTCCGTGGGTGGTCATCATCACGTTCTACCTTGCCCCAGGGCTCCACTGGGGCCTGTGGAGGCCCAGAAGCTAGCAGAAGAGCAGGCCCGGGCGCCTGTTGTGCCATTTGGTGTGGACCTGTGCTACTGGGGCCAGGAACAGCAGATGGTCGGGAAGATGTTCAAGTGAGTGAAGGGGCGCAGTGTTCCTGGGGCCCAGCAGGCCCAGCCAGGCGCCTGGGCTTCCTGAGCCCTTTGCTGCTCCTTTGGGGAAGGTCGGCCTTTCACAGCATGTGGGAGTAGCCCCGGGTCCTGACCTGGCACAGTCCCTTCAGTGGGAGCCAGGTAGCAATTGCCACATGGAGTGCAGCCTCCCGCTTTCCTCCCGGGAGGCTCCCTGCCAGGCCAGCAGAGGCCCTGGCCCAAGCCCACGGCCAGGCTCGGACAGCGGGCAGCTTACTGCAGGAGCTGTGTCCACCTAAACCACTGATGGCAAACCTTTGAGACCTTTCTGTGATACGGACAGCCTGCTGTGGCACGGGTGCCGTAGGTTCGCCACCACTGCCCTGTGCTGTGGCCAGAGGCAGTGCTGGCGTCTGATGCCAGATGTACAGCTGATGGAGGAGGGGACCAGGCAATGGTGTCCCTGGCCAGGGTCCTGGTGCCTCGAGGGCTCCCAGACACTTTGCTTGGAGTGTCCAGGGCAGAGATGCCCATGAGCCCCGTGCCCTCACCACGGCCTTCTCTGGTTCTGCTGGGGTGGGTGGTGGGTACAGTTGCAGCCTGGCCTCCTCACAGGAAGCCCCTGTCCCTGCCATGTTGCAGGGGGCCTGCTTCTCTGGGGATGCCCAAGCGCAAGGCAGGTGGGCTGCTCAGCTGTCAACAGAGGCCTGGCGCCCAGAGATCCATCCCACACACGACCACCAGGTGCCCATGCTGGCAAATGGCCAGAGCCACCAGTGACTGCCAGCCTGCAAGCAGACGCTGGGCAAGTGTGGCCACCGCCCCAGCGCCCCCAGGGCCGTGGACAGTGCTGAGGCCCCAGCAAGGGGGCTGCACCATGCTCTGCTCCCTGCCGCCCACCTGGTGCTGCCTGTGGCCTGTGCTCCCCGGGAAGCAGCTGCCACATCTGAACCTCACTGTGCCCGGGTGGCTGAGGAACGGAGTTGTCCCAGGAGTGGCTGCAGTGGTGCAGGGACCCACGCTGGGGCCGACCTCGGTCCCTGGGTGTCCCCAGCAGCTGGTCACGTGCATCCAGGCCCCTCCTGGGCTGCAGTGTGGAGCGGGGCCTCCTGGGGCCCGCTGTCTGCCTGCCGAACAGAGGGGCACAGCAGGCTGAGGGTGGGGCCAGTCGGCTTGGTTGTTCCCAGCAGCCGTCCACCCTTCAGAGGTAGTTGGTGGCCACTCCAGCAGGGCTCAGCCTGGGCCCCGGGCCTGTGGACAGCACAGTGGGGAGGACCCTGGTCCTGTAGCTGCTTCACGTGGTGCCCAGGTTTGGGCCACCAAGGGGATGCTTTCCTAAGGGGAGGAGCAGCTGACTGCTCCAGGCCCTGTGAGGCACCCTACCAGGCTGTTGCTCTGCAGAGCCGACTCCGAGCACCGCTTCTGGAAGCCCAGCGAGGTGGAGGGGGAGGCAGACAGTTCAGACATCCGTGCGCTGCTCCGGAGCCGCTGCATCACCTTTGCAGGGAGGTTCGAGCCTGTGCAGCACCGCTGTCGGGCCCCGAGGCCCGATGGCCGGCTCTGTGAGCGCCAGGACCGGCTGAAGGTGAGGCTGTGGGTGAAGCCAGAAAGGAGAGGGTGACTGTCGGGGTGGGCACGGTGGCGTGGAGAAGCCCCTGGGGCTCAGGCTGTCCCGGGTGGTCAGGCTGCTCAGCCACCATCATTAGAGAGCCGTGTCCGGGGCCTGCCGCCTGGCCTCATGTGGACGTCCTGTGGAGCCAGGGATGCCAAAGGGCTGGGTCCTGGAGAACCGGGAGGCCAAGGCCCCCAGTGGGGACTCCCTGGGCAGGAGGGAGCAGGGTGAGAGAAGTGGCTGCAGACAAACGGACTGGAGGCCCAGGTCCCTTCATTTTTACTTTTTATTTTCTAGTGCCAGGGGTTGAACCCAGGGTCTTCCCGCTACTAAGTTCCCTCTCCAGCCCTTTTTTATTTTGAGACAGTCTCACCAAGCTCCTCAGTTGCCCAGACTAGGCTCAGACTTGTCATCTTCCTGCCTCAGCCTCCCAGAGTGCAGGGATTACAGGCGTGGGCCAACAGGCCTGGGTGGCATTGCTACCCCTGCTCTCAGATGAAGAGGATGACAGAGCCCCCGGCCCTGTAGCTCCCAGGACCCCCTCGGAGGGAGGCGTGTCCCAGCCGTCAGCCTGTGTGCTTGCTCTGCAGTGCCCTTTCCATGGGAGGATCATCCCCAGAGACGACACGGGACAGCCCCTTGACCCAGAGGACAGGGCCAGAGAGCAGCGGCAGCGGCTGCAGCAGCCAGAGCGGCCGGGTAGGTCAGGGGTGGGTACAGCCCCAAACCTGGCCCGGGCCACCCGCTAGAACCACGATCCCTGAGCCCCGTGACCGAGGGGCACTGGGGGCCCAGGGTATGCAGGGAGCTTGGGGCAGGTGGGGACACACCCACTCTGGCAGCCTGTACCTGGGTGTGGCGGGGGTTCTCTGCTGGCCTCTGCCCACCCTGGCATCCTGCTGGGGCCTGGCACCAGGAGTGGGTGCTGCCCTGTGCTGGCTGCCCAGCCACAGGGGCCCCGAACAGCAGGGCCAGTGGTGAGCCACCCCCAGGCCCCAGCCAGGCCCGGGCGTGTCCTGAAGGGTGGTTCTGGCCCACCTCGCTGTCTCCTGGGCTGGCTGGGCCAGGGTGGCGGCAGGGCTGACCTGTTAATCTCCGGGCCGAGCCCTTCCCTGGTGGCTCACACTCGGGAGCAAATTAAGTGCCTATTTTTGTGTCAGCCTGAAGAGTATCTGGTTTTCCAGCCCTTGGTGGCTTGTTAACAAACAGGTATCAGGCTGCGGCCACGCCGCTGGCCAGTCAGATGTGAAATAGCGTCTCTTTACTAACTGCAGTATTGATCCCGCCTCCCTCGCACACGGGGCAATTTTCTTTTCCCTGGCGCTAACCTCGGTGACAATGCACGAGGCGCTCCAGGGCCCGTCAGCGCCAGGAAGGCCGTGCGGCCGGCGTCTATTGATTTTCTTCAAAGGCTTTTAAATTGCTCCTTCATTTTCCTGAGGTGCCCATTCCATCTCCACTGGAGGCCGGCGTTTTTTCCTTGTGTTTAAACAATTGCTCCATTCACCAGGTTCCTAAACTGTGACGCCTTCTTATTACTGGGAGATAAACTGTTTAGACAGTTTTCCTTAATCTTGGATTAATCGTCCCTGTATCTGAGTCCTGCAGCCCCGAGTTCCTTCACTTCAAAAAATCAGCTGGAGGAGGCTGTGCCATCTGTCTGTCTGGGCCGGGCTTCTCCCCTGCAGACAGCCCCGTGGCCTGGCCTTGCAGGCACCCTGTCCCCTGCTGCTCCCCAGCCCTCTGCCAGCACGTGAGGGGCCCGTCTGCCAGCCAGGCTTGCCCCGGGCTGAGCAGGCTGGGTCACTTTGTGTCCCATGCCTGACCTGGGGGAGGCAGAAGGTGCAGCTGCCCAGGACCTGAGGACGCCAGCCCCTGGCTGTGGCCTTGCCCGCTGGCCTGCAGTGCAGTCCGGGCTGCGCCAGGAGTAGCTCTGGGCACAGCCTGGCTGTACGGCCGTGGAGGCCCAGGAGCCTCGCAGGATGTTGGAACAACCCCCTCCCTGCCACGCGGACCCTCTCACCCTGCCAGCTGCGCCACGGGAGCCCCAGCCCCTCGAGCAGGACAAGGGCCACACAGTGCCACACAGGGTGGAGGGCTGGGGCTAGCACTGGCGTTTTCTAAAGTCCTCACTTTTGTTTAGACTGGCAGGACCCGGAGTTCATGAAGGACGTGGAAGCGGCCACAGGGGCCGACCTCGGCTCGGCCCGGTACAGCGGAAAGGGCAAGGGGAAGAGGAGGAAGTACCCAGCACTCACAGATCTGCGGGCGCAGGCCAGCACCTCGAGGGCCCGCCTCGGGAAGAAGGTCTTTGCCAAGTAAGGGCCGCTGCTGTGCCCCTCCCGTGCCCCCAGGCTACAGGCCTCTCCCCAGGGGCCCCCCAGATCCCCTGGGGTGGAGTGGGGCGTGCACTGGACAGGTCCAGAGCTGCCCCCGACACCCTGTGTGTCTCCTGAGGACGCCACCTCTGTTCTCCCTCCTGGTAGCCGAGGCAGGCAGGTGGGGTGACCGTGCCCTTCATCCTGCCTGCCACCCCTAGTTAGTGCCACACTGCCCCTGCTGACCTCCGGGAGGGCTGCCACTGCGCACATCTCCTCTGCTGCCTGGGTGTGGGCACCATGTCTGTGCCCAGCCTGGGCCAGTGTTCCGCTGCTGTCAGGCCTTGCCTTCCCTTCTCCACCACGTGCCCTCTGGGTTTCCTGTCCTTAGGGCCTGTGAGGCTGCCGCCACCTGCCAAGGTGAGTGCCAGGGCTCTGAGGTGCCTGGCACCTGCTGCCTGCGGTGTTGCCATTGCCCAGCCCCAGGGGCCTGTGGGACAGCAGCCTTGCAAGGGTCAGGGAAAGGCCAAGGCTCCTGGGAGTGGGGCCAGGGCTGGGCAGCTCTGGAGCGAGCGGGCTCCCAGGGGTCTGCCCCAGGTGCCCGGGGCTGAGGAGTCGGTGTCCCACGTTCTCCTGTGCTCTCTGGGGCACAGAAGGCCTGTGCAGGAGCAAGGCCAGGAGCTGGCGCCTCACAGCAGCCTGGAGTCTGCAGAAAGGCTCGACCGCCCCAGGCTGGCCCAAGCCCTGGGCCTCCCCGTCCCGGCTGCTGCACAGGGCTGGGGAGATGCGGCCGGGGCCCGCTTCCCCGGCAGGATGGCGCGGAGCCCAGCCCGAGCCCCTGACCAGCCTCGCTTTGCTGTCCCGCAGGGCAGCAGTGCAGAGGGTGGCTGCTGCCATGAACCAGATGGACCGGAAGAAGCATGAGAAGTTCGCAAACCAGTTCAACTACGCGCTGAACTAGTGCTGGGCCTGCCTTGCCTGCTCCGTGCACACCCGAGGACCGGGTGTGAGCCGTGCTTCCTTGTGTCCAGTGGTGCCCAGGGCCTCGGCCAAGGGGGCAGCCCGAGGCCTGTGTGCTTTCTGATGCGTTGAGAGCTGGGCCGAGCTCTGCAGCCTGCCCTGCCCTGCCACCTCCCCAGGAAGGAGCGCTCTGGGCTGCACGGGGCCCAGGGCCTCGCCTGCTTCTCAACGCGGTCTGAATTGGAGCGTGGCACAGCGGCCCGGGAACCTGCATTCCGGCCCATGGTGCTTTGTCGCGAGAGGACACCCTCCGCCCTCCCAGCCCCACACGGCCCTGTGCGCGTCTGGTGGGCCAGTTCGGGTGTCCTGGATGCACCGGGCCCCCTCTGGCTCCCTGGTCCCTCTTCCTGCCGTCACACGTGCCACCCCCAGTGACGTCCCGGCGTCTACCACGTGCCGCCTCGGGCGCTGCCCTGGGCTGCTCCCAGGGCCCCAGCAGTGCTGTGCATGGGTGCGGTCACTGGGCCACAGGTGCCACCTCGCCGTGACCCCACTCCGTCTTCCTCGGCACCCGCCGCACCCCTGTGCCCTCCAGGCAGCGGAGTTGGGGGTCCAGTTTCTCCACATTCCTGCTGGCTCGTCAGTCACCTCTTGGTGTTAGCAGTCTTAGTGGCATGGGGATGGAGCAGACTTTTATTTTTTTTCCTGGACTGCAGATCAAATACAAGGCACTGAACTAAATAACCAGCCTTTTGGGCCGGGGACTTTGCTCAGAGGCACCACGCCTGCCTTGTAAGCGCAAAGTCCTGAGTTTGATCCCCGGTACCAAAAATAATTTTTTTTAATCAGCCTTTTAAAGTTTTATATTTTGAGACAGGGTCTTGCTAAGTTACTGTTGCCCAGGCTGGGCTTGGACTTGCAGGCCTCCTGCCTCGGCCTCTGAGTAGCTATTTTGATTTGATTTTTCTGATGAGTGATGTTGAACATCCCTTCATGTGCTTAAGGGTCATTTGTTCATCTTGGGAGAAATATCTGTTCGCATCTCCTGACCCTGCTGGAGCCGTTGGTTCTGTGTTGTAAGAGTGTAGCTATCTGGGCTCTGTCCTCCTGAGTGATTCTCATATTCCCCGCCGGTCTGCCTTGTCCCCTTCTTAGGAGAACCCTTTAGAGCACAAATACTGCCATCTTCTGTGGAGTCCAGTTTATCTGTTTTTTGTTCTTTTCTTCCTTGTGCTTTTGGTATCTGAGAAACCACTGCAGAACTTCGGGTCACAGAGAGTTGTTGCTGTTCTCTTGTGTGGTTTGGTAGCTTTAGCTCCTTTTCCATACGCAAGGTGGGGTCCAGTTCGTCTTGTGTGTCTGGTCACTGTCTGGTGTCACAGCACCACTTGTTGAAGGCCTGTCCTCCCCTATCCCTCTAAGCACCCCGCGGGTAACCAGGTGGCCCTGAGGGTGGACTCGGGGTTTCTGGGCACCGATTTCTGGCCCTTCGACCTGCACACCCTTGCATCAGTACTGCGGGCTGGGTTATTGGATTTGGTGAACACGAATCTTCAGCTGTAATATTTCAAGAGGGTTTTGGCTCTTCTGGGTTCTTTGAATCTCCAAATGAATTTTGGGGTCAGTTTGTCAATTTTCGCCAGAAAACAGAAAGCTGGCATTTTGATAGGGATGGCGTGGTGTTGCCATGCGAACACGAAGTCTCGGCACGCGCACTGCCGCTGTCTTCCGGGTACTCGAGTGGTCCTTGACAGTTCTGGGTTCTCAGTGTGTGCGTCTTCCACTTACTTTTTTTTTTGGTACCGGGGATCAAACTCGGGTCCTTGCGCTTGTGCAGCAGGTGGTGAAACCACTGAGCTAAATCCCTGGCCTGAGGACCTTCTGATTTCAGTTATTTTAGTGCTCTCTCCCCTCTGCCTTCCGCCCTCCGTCCCCCTTCCTCTTGGTCAGCCTAAATAAAGATTTATAATTTTGTTGATACATTTGAAGAAACAACTTCTGGTTTTGAGTGATCCATATTACTTTTCTATTCTTTATTTCACTGATTTCCATTATTCATTATTTCCTTTGGGTTACTTTGGATCTAGTTTTCTCTTTCTTTTTTCTTAAAGTGGAAGGTTAGCTTATTAATTGGAAATCTTTATTTTTTAATAAAAGTGTTCATAACTATACATTTTCATCTAAGCATTGTTCATCCCTTAAATTTGTTGTTGTTGTTTTGTTTGTTGTTTTTTGTTTTGTTTTGTTGAGATGAGGTCTCACTTTCTAGCCCAGGCTGAGCTTGGACTCAGGCAGTCCTCCTGCCTCAGCCTCTCCAGGGTTGGGATTACAGGCGTGGGCCACCATGCCCGGCTGGTTTGTTACATTTTTAAACCTAAGTATTTTCCAATTTTTTTTCCTGTTAGATTAATCAGGAGTGTGTTGTTTGTCTCCACATACTCATGAATTTCCCAAATTTCCTCTGTTGCTTTCTCGGTTCACTCCGTTGCCAAGGAAAGCATGCGTGTGACTTGAGCCCTTCCCATGCTCCCGAGCTGCCCTTGAGGCTACATCCCACCCTGAACATGCCCCGCCTGCCCTACTGGGCCAGGGTCCTCTGTCCCCGTCTCCCCACTGGGGGTGGCACTGTGTCGTACCCCCACCTGCTCTCCTCTGGTCTCCAGGGCCATCTGCCTGAGCCCTCTCCATGACCGTGCAGGCCCCTCCCACCCTGTCCCGGGCCTGCGCATCCAGTGCTCCCCACCCTGGCTGACCCGGGTCACACTTTGATCTGTGCCTTCAGTTTCCACGTTCAGCGCATCTGCGCTCTCCCCTGGGACTGGCACGGTGGGCTGTGCCAGCCACTGCTGCCTGTTAATCCCTTGGAACTTTTGCTCCCTGTTGCCCCCTTTGCCATTTGTGAGCTATTTTCCCAGTGGCTGCTGAGTGTTAGGTAACAGCTTACAGTGATCTGCTTCGGATTGGCACCAACCTGACTTCAGCGCACCCCACCTTTGCTCCCAGAACCCCTGAGCCGGCTTTGGTCTCCCTGTGGCAGACCTGCAATCGCAGCCCATCAGCGCAGACCTGCGACGCTGGGTGCTGCACGCGGTGGCTGTCTCTTGAACCGCCGCGCCTGGGGAGGTGGGTCAGGGCCCCACGGCCCCAGGGCAGTGTTCCCAGTCTCACAGAGGCAGGGGCCGGGGCCGGGGTCCCTGGGCAGGAGGCAGGGGTGGCAGGCGCTAGGCCCAGCCAAGTGGGCCTGGGGGTGGGCAGTGGCCATCCGTGGGGCACAGGGCTGGCAGTAGGGGATGGACAGGGCCCAGGCCGCAGCCTCGGTGCTTGAGTGGACAGCCCTTATGGGAATGGGTTTAGCATTAGGATTTGCTATATAAAACTAAAACCAGCAGTGTGCTGTAGACTCAGGGTGTGGCTGAGTTTCTGCCAGCAGTCCAGAGGTATCCACGCTGTGGCGAGGCCACACAGCCACAGCAGGATCCCGCCTCTTTCCAGCTTCTGGCTCAACATCAAAGCCTCGGTCCTCTAGGCTGCCTCGCATCCCAGCGTAGCTGCTGGGGCTCCAGGCATCACAAATCCACAGGAAGGAGGGTTGTGCATCTTCCTGCTGGGACATTCCCCATGTGTCACCTTCCTAGAACCCCTCTCCCCCAACACACCTGCTCACATCACCATGCCCAGAACCTAGTCACAGGCCCCGAGAAGCAGTTGATGTCCAGCTGTGATGGATCCTCTTTCCCAGGAGCCGCCCAGCTGCCCAGGAGGAGGTGAGGGGTGGGCACCGAGGTCGTGTCCCCTGAGGTGTGGAGCTCTGCAGGGAATCCTTGCTCGCCCATGGATGGGGGGGTGTCCACCCCTACGAACTGCCCTGGCTCCCCAGGCTGCTCCCTAAGATGGTCTCAGGCTGGAGGAGACCCCTGGAGCTCCGGGTGGAGCCAAGTGGTGTCCAGGACGGCTGGGCACACGAAGTTCCGGTGGGGCCACTTGTGGGGCGGGGCCGTGGTGGGCAGTCCGGTCCCTAGGGACACCACGGGCAGTGGGGGGAATGTGTAGGGGCACAGGCAGCCAGTGTGGACGGCACACAGTGAGAGCACAGTCCAGCATGGGATGCTGGGCAACCTGCAGGCCGGGACTCAGGCTCTAAGCCAGCAGGAAGCCCCTCCTGCCTGGCCTGGGAGGCCCCGGGGCGACAGCATCCCTTGCCAGGGTGTGGCCATGTGCCCCAGCCTCGCTACTGTATGGGCCTCTAGGAAAGCAGCCCCTGCTCCCCGTGTGCCGTCCGGGGTGATGGAGGCAGTGGCTGGAGCCTCTGCAGCCACCCAGGCTCTTAGGACAAAGGCCCAGCCCAAGCTTGGTGCAGCAAGGGGCCGGGTAGTCTCAAGACTCGGGTTCCCTTAGGCAAGAAAATGAAGTCTCCTTTCCATGTCTGTTCATGTGGGTTTCTCTCGTACACAGCCAGGCAGCTCCTGACCCCACAGTGGAGGCCCGGAGCCCAGTGCTGCAGGCTGGCAGGAGCCTGGAGGTGGGTTGCACGTGGCTCGCCTGCTCCCCTGAAGGGCCAGGCCTGTTTGCTGATGACCCCACCCTGGCAGCTATCCAGGCTTCTGCTTCCAGTCCCAGGAGGAAGTGAGTGCCTTGTCCTGGGGGGACACAGCTGTGGCTCCTGAACCAGAGGGGCCCCAGGGAACCCAGACCAGGCTGCAGACTGGGGGTAGGGGGCCCCTAACCCAAGTCCCTGGGAAGCAGCTGGGGCAGTCAGTGCACACCCCACACTCTGGGAGGAGCTGCAGCTAGGCCTGGTGCCTCCAGGAGGGAGCAAGGCCCCTGGGCTCCTGGACCTCGTTTCCCCACATGGGGTGCGAGGACAGCTTGGCTTGGTCACCACAGGCCTCTGAGGAGGCCCAGGTGGGCAGACAGGTCTGTTCTGTCCCTGGCCGGCCCCAGCACACCTAAGTGGCACCCAGGAGATGGGCAGAGCCAGGAAGAGCAGGGAGCAGCCCCATGCAGGCCAGTGTGGCTGGGGGGTCACAGCTTGGAGCAGAATGGGGGTGCCTGGCTGGGGACACTGCTTTCCAGGTCGCAGGGCCCCTCACTGTCCTACAGCCCAGGGTCCATGCCGTGCCTGGACACAGCTGACCCGGGGCGACCCTCCTAGGCTGGCGAGGGCAGCCTGGTGGGGAGGGAGGAGGCGGGGTGTGGGCACTGTCCTCTGTCCCTGAGTCTGACACTGCCCCGCCACCCTGGTGGAGCCGCAGCATTGCCCCCACAAGTGGAGCAGGGGATGGTGGGAGGGCCCCACTATGCGTCAGGCTCCAGGGAGCTTCCTGGTGCACTTCTGTCATCTCTTCCGGGGCTGTGAAGCCCTGGGGTGCCCGGCAGATCCCAGCTAGGGGACAGGCCTTGCAGAGCCGGGGGCTAGGACAGCAGGCCTTCCCTGGCCTCTTCCTGCTGGGTAACCCTGGCACAGCCTGAACCAAGCAAACTGCAGAGGATCTGAGGAGCACCCAGGGCCTTCTGAGACCGGAGACCTTTGGGGTCTCCTGGGCTCCCCGACAGCCACAGACCTCACCAGCGCTGTTGCTCGCACTGGCCCAATCCTGCCCTCCTCAGGCTGGCGCTCCCTGGTCACCACTCACAGCCTGGCCCTGCGCCCAACCCAGGGCTTTTTCCAAGTGGGTAACTGCAGGCCACACCTTGGGGCAGAGACGGGCACAGTGAGGCAGGGTCTGTGAGCAGAGTGGCTGCCCCCACCTGCCCTCACTTCACTCCTGCCCGGGGGAACAGCCACCCCCAAACCCCGAGCTCCCCCCGAGTGCTGCCAGGCAAGTGGCCCAGGGACGAGTCCTCAGCATCCTGAGATGAGCTTGCCCCGCCGGGAGGAGACCTGTGCCAGAGGCGCACAGTTGCTGGCCAGCACTGGGCAGAGGAGGGGGCACCAGCCACTGCTGTCCCGACCCCACTGGGCACAACCCTTCAGGAAGTAGGGCGCCTGCCGGGATCCCTGCGACGTCTGCCCCGGCGTCAGTGCTGCTGTGGAGCGCAGCTGAGGCTGCGAGTGGGCCCTCGGGCTGGGGCAGCAGCCTGCGGGGGACCGCACGAGCCCCAGCGGACAGCGAGCCCCAGGCACCGCCTGGGGTGCAGGCTCTGCAGGCTCGGGTCTCCTCCCGCGCCAAGCGGGCAGCGAGGAGGGCAGGGAGTGCCGCGGAGCTCGGGGCAGGCAGTGGAGACCGAGGGAACCCACCGCCGGCAAGCTCTGGAGGGACGGGGTGTGGCCGTGTGGCCCGGACCCAGCCTGGGCGGAAGCGCCTGGGGCTGACGCATGAGAAGACCTGGAGACCTGGAGACCTGGCTCAGCCTCCTGGGTTTATTGAGTGAGGCTTGGCACAGTGCTCTGAGCGGCCCGGCCGCGTGCGATCCTTCAGTCCTTTTGAAAGTAACCCTTCCTTGGGCCCGGCCAGTGCAGGGCACCCGCTGATCCGCAGGACGAGTGGTGAAGCGCCCATCTTCCCACCCTGCGTCCCGAGTCCCCGCGTCCCGAGTCCCCGCGTCCTGTTCTGGCGACTCAGAGGTGCGGGGCGTAGAAGGCGGGTGCGCCATAGGTCTGCGAACCCAGCACGAAGGGGGACAGCACTGCCGGGCCAGAGAGGAAGGGCAGCTGCGCGGCGCACACGAGCCCGCCGGGGCCGTGCGCTGGGTACCCCGCGGGGCCGTGCATGGCGAGCGGTGCACCCAGTGGCGGCGATGGGCTGAGTGGGCTGAGGCCACCAGGCAGCCCCGCCCCCGGCCCCGCGCCTGGCCCGGCGCCCCCGCCGGTTGGCGCGCTGGTGTCGGCACCCGGGTTCTGCTTCTTCCACTTTGTCCGGCGGTTCTGGAACCAGATCTTCACCTGCGTCTCGGTGAGGCTGAGCGACAGCGCCAGGTTGAGGCGCTCGCACACGGACAGGTAGCGCGTGGCCTTGAACTTGTTCTCCAGCGCCACGAGCTGCTCGTAGGTGAAGGCTGTGCGCGCGCGCCGCGGCTTTCCCGACTTGGAGTCAGAGCCGGTGCGCTTCCTCTTGGGCTTGACTGCGGCCACTGCGCCCTGCGGGGCTGTCCCTGTGCTGCCTGCTGTGCACGCTGCCGGGGCGGTTCCAGCCCCTGGCGCTCCGGGGGCTCCGGGTGAGGTCCCGCGGGGCGCGGGGCCCGCAGCCCCCTCGACAGCACCCGTGGGGGCCTCTGTCTCTCCCGCTCCGGGGCAGCCCGACCCGCGGGCCCCACGACTGCTGCCTCCCCGCGTGGCGTCCTCAGCCTCCCCGTCAGGCGCCTCATCCCCGCTGTCCGCACGTGGGCTGTGGCCGCTGCTGCTGTAGCCATTGGCTCCAGCCTCCTCCGTCTTGCAGGGGTCACTGGAACCTGCGGAGACTGGGACGGAGAGGATGGGTCAGCTCAGCCAAGCCTCCCAGGGGCGCTTTCGCTCCCCTCAGAACCTCCCCTGGTCCTCTGTCCTCTTGCCCTCCCGGGGCACCCTCTGCACCCCAGTGAAGGACCCTCTCCAGCAGAGACTGCAGCCAGCACCCAGCCCAGGGCTGTGGCACAAGCAGCACAGGGTTGCGATCGATCCGGGGCAGATACAAACTTAATTAAACTCATTTTGTGTAATGTACAAACTTGTTAAAGGCCATTTAATTTATTTCAGCATGTATTACCCTCCAATTATACCAGGCACAGGACCAGCCAATTACCGGGCATTTACGTAGTCCGAGTGCCATTGTCCTGGGGCTGCGGACGGCCAGCGGAGGGGCCAAACCGCCATCCTGCCCGTCCCTACCTGAGCCGGCATCGGAGCCATGCCCAGCCCTGCTCTTCAGGCCGGTCCCTGCCCTGCTTGGCCTGACGGGAGGGCCCAGGCTCCCATCCTCCACCGGCCCTGGCTGCGCATCCACTTGGGGGTTCTGAGATTTGAGAGAAAGCCTCTCTCCTGGGCAGCGCTTTGGGGATCTTCTATACTCTCACCCCACAGGTGGTTCTAACACCCAAGAGGAGCCAGCAGCTTCCGAAGAGGGGCCCAGACCTGCCTCTCAGGCTGGCCCCGAAATTCCGGCTCAGGAGACATAAATCCACCCCAGCCAGGCTCCTGGGGCAGCTGGCACGGGGTGCACGGAGGTTGGCAGTTGTGCTGGTCCCAAGCTCTCAGGCCTGTCCCTCTCTCCTCCCAGCATCGCTGAGCCTGCTCCTTTCCCGCACCAGCAACAGCAGGGTCCTGGGGTGCTGGGTTCCCCGGACAACTGAAAGGCGGACACTGTAGCTCTGTGCAGAGCTGCAGGGGGCCCTGTGGCTGAGGTCTGCTCTGTCTCAGCCCCACAAGGAGCCCAGTGCGGGTGATGCCTGCAGTCCTGAGCAAGAGCACCCTGCCAGGTGGCCGGAGCTCAGGCGCAGGGCCAGGAAGTGGGGGGGGGGGCACAGAAAGCAATCAGGAGTTGGTCGAATGCAATTCGCGATCAATGCCGGCCCCTAATAAGTGTAATAGGTTTTAATCGAGTAATTATCCGAATTTTGACCCTATAATTTAGATGTTCGGGGGAGTTTGCAAGGTGCTTGAAAGAGATATGCATGCGCCGTAATGGGATATCGACCCGACCGGGGGCGCGGGCCGCCCCATTACCGGCCGCTTTCCGCCGCTAAGCACATTTCCCCTTAACTGTAATCGAAGGGATTTAATTGTTTTTCCAGAGATAACCAGCGTTTTGTCACAATTAGTCCGATTTGTCCGAAAAAAAAAAAAAAGAGGGAGAGAAATAGCGAGAGAGGGGATAAGGGAGGGAGGCCAAGCGGGCGAGGTCGCGGGGGCACCGCGCAGCCCCTCGGGCCGGAAACGCGCGGGAGCGGACCCCGCGGCCTCCCCAAGCGAGCGCGGCCTCGAGTCCGGATCCGGCGGAGGCCGCGGACCCCGCGCGCTGCGAACTTTCCAGCGGGCCTCGGCGGCCTGGGGAGCTCGGCCGGGGCGGGGTCGGGGGCGAGTGCGGATGCCACGCGCGCGAGGGCCTGGCCCGGCCCGGCTGGGACCCATACTCACCCGGCGACGCTGCTCCCGCTCCGGCTCCCGCGGCGGCGGCGAGGGCCCGGCGCTCCGGCTCCTCCGCGCGAGGCGGGCGTCCCGAGGCGGCGGGGCCCGGGACGCAGGGGGCGCCGAGGGCGGGGGGCGCGGGGCCCAGCAGCACGCAGCGGCGGCGCCGGCTGTTGAACTTGTTGGGGTCCAGGATGTCCAGCACCGAGAAGGAGGTGGGGCGCGGGGGCGCGGCGGGCCGCGCGGCTCCGAGTCCCTCGGGCGCCCCGGGCACCGTGTCGCTGGCGGCGAGCGGCGGGGCCCCGGCGCGGGCGAAGGCGGGCGGCTCGGCGCGCCCGTCCATGGCGTCCTGGGCGGCGGCAGGGGGCGGCGGCGCGGGCCCCGGGCCCGGCCCGGAAGGCGGAGGCGGCGTAGGGACGTCCCCGGGGGCCCCCGGGCCGCTCGAGCTCATGCCGGCTCCGCGGCCTGGCTCGCGCCTACTGCGCGCCCATGCCCGGAGAGGCGCGCGCGCGGGCGGCCGAGGGCTGACGCTCCCGGCCGGGGCTGCCTGGCGCCTCCGCCGCCGAACCCGGCCGGCGCATTTATGGCGGCCCCGCGGAGGCGCCCACGCGCCCCACGCTGCACACACGTGCGCCCGCCGGCGCCCGGACCCCGCCGCCTCGTTAGCGCGCGCGCCTAATTGGCTGCGAACGGCCCGGGGGCAGGAGGCGGGCCCGGCCTGGGGCCAGGACGAGCCGCGGACGGCCGGACGGAGGCGCGGGCCGGGCGAAGGCTGTCGCGGTCGGTCGGTCGGCAGTGTCGCCGCGCCCCCCTGGTCTGGAACCGCGCGCCGCCTCTCGCGAAGGGGGAGGAGACAGTCGGGCTTTAAAGGGCCGCGAAGGCCCCGGGGGCGCGGGCCAGGAGCCCCGAGGTGGCCCGGCCTCTCCTCCGCCCCACACAGGCCGGGCTGGGCGGCTCCGCGGCCCCGGCCCCGCAGCTCCGGTTGGTCTCCGCGGGACTCCGAGCTGCGCAAGCCCCGGCCCCTCGCGCGCGCCCCGCGGCCTCGGTCCCGACGCGCGCGGTCGCCCGGGGCGCGTGTCCTCGGCAGGCGCCAGCCCCTGCGCGCCGTCAAACTGGGCGGGGCTGGGAGCCCCAGGTCGCTCACAGAAGTGGAATCGAAAATGAGGAGGGCTGGGCCGCCCGCGCCCCCGCCCCGAGGACCGGCCCCAGCTAGCGGCGGCGGCCTGCGCGAACACTACCCTCAAGTAGGGAACGTGCGTTTCTTCCGGAAAGAGCGCGGCAGACGCCGGGCCAAGTGGGGCGGCCCTCGCGCGACCGAGTGTTTGCGCACGCTTCGTCCTCAGCGGCGACACTGGCAGGACGGGCCCCGTGGCCCTCGCTGGCGCGGCCCGGCGTCCCCCGTTGCTCTCCTGCTTCTGCCGCCGCCAAGGAGCCGACCGCCTCCGGGGACCCAGGTGGGAGCTGGCGGTGGAGCGCGCGTCCGCGGGGTGAGTGCGCGCCTCCCTCTGCGTCCCCGGAGCCTGCTCCGCGCAAGGACGGGTCCTTTGCAATTACCCCGGGCAATGATCCTTCGGAAGCAGAAATTAAAAGTTGGGAGAAATAATGGGGGGCCGATTGGCTGTAATTTGGGCCAAGCCCGAACCTGCTGGGTCGCAGGGAGGCGGGTGCTGGGGAGGCCGGACCCTCCCCCTCCCGGCCTCCCCGCGTGCGGGTCGGGTCCATCCGGAGATCTAATCAGACCCACAACACTGTGTCCTTCCTTGCCAGGACTTGATTACGCTTTATCTTTAAATTATAAATCACCTCTGGGGAAGGAGGGTGGGTAATCTCTCATCGCAGGGAGGTAATTGTCTCCTTGCTGCCCCCACCTAGGTCTTGGCTATCTCCCTCCCCACCCCAACTGAGTGTGACTATAGATGTGCACGCCCCATTCACACACACACTCACACTCATTCACAAGCGCACAGCCACACACGCACGGTTCATTCATGAGCACCCAGGCTCCCGAGAGTGCGGCGCCCCCCCCTTGCTGCGGCCCTAGAACGCTTGAGGGGTGGGGGCATCAGGCCGTCCGCGGGTCTGGTCCCCTCTCCTCCCCTGGGGAAGTCCCAAGGGCAGAACCCGCGCGGTGCAGACCGAGAGGAGCGATCCCCAGCACACTGACCAAGTCCCCATCTCGGCCACAGCCCACACCCCGCCTGCCGGGTGCCCGGGAGCCCTGGCCAGACGCCCACAGGCATGGGAGAAAAGGCTGCGGAATCCGGCCCTCCTACAGCAACTTTCAAGACAACACGGACACACGCCACACGCTTCAGACGGTGTAGGCCGTGTAGACGTAGTGTAACATACACAGAGTAAATGTACAACGTATTAAATCGGATGTGTAATGAGCACACTGCACCACACGTCGTAGCATAACATACGGTGCACGGTGTTTTCCGAGCACCCCACCAGCGCTGTCCCTGAGGGGTGGGCTGGTGCAGAGGTGGTGGCCGGCTCCAAACGTGCAGGCCCCAAGGTTGCCCCTCCTCCACCCGCCCTGCGCTGCCCTTTCTCACGGAGCTGCTGCAGGCAGGGTACTGAGCTGCGGGTCTGGAGTCAGGCTGGGGAGCAGGGCCCAGGTCCTCCAGGGCGAGCAGATGCCCCTCCGTTGCATCCCTCAGGAGGGGCTGATGTGCGTGGACGAGGCTGGAGGCTGAGAGGAGATCGTGGCAGCCTCTCACACCCCACAGCCCGGCGGCTCCCCTCCCCGAGGCAGCCCCAGAGCTGGGCTATAAAGACGCCCTTTCGCTCCTAATCACAATTGATTGTCAATTAAACCCTCATTTGTGCAATCTTTGCCCATCTGCCATCTCGGGTTATCTCTGAGCCACCAGCCTCACTTGTGGGGCCCAGGTGGGCACTGACAGGTGACGTCGTGCCTGGGACAGGGGTGCCGCTGCCTCCTGGCGGAGAGGAAATGTCCCGGTCACTGCGCAGCCCCAGCTGCCGCCTGCCGCTCTTGACAGGCCGGTCCCGGCAGGCTGAGGGGCAGGACAGATGCGCGGCCGGGGTAGAAATGCAGGGGCAGTGGTGGTGGCAAGAGCCCTAATTAGACCAGAAGAAGGAGCAGGTGGGGCTGGAATTTCTGGTATCCTCTCCCTAGCACTACAGCTTTTTGAAATTTTGGGGGAACAAGAGCAAGTGGAGCCCCAACTCTGCTGTTAACGCCTCCTGTGCTAATAGCCCTTCTGCATCTGGCCTCCGTCGTTGCAGGGGTGGGTTCCCCGTGACCTCTGAGATCCTGCTTCCTTCTCCTCACCAGCTGAGCGCCGCCTTTGCTGGACGGGGGGAGGCCGCCCATGTCCAGAGGTCTCTGGGTTTGGGCGCAGGCACGGCTGCCTCCACTCCAGTGCTTGTCTCGTGCTGCACACACCCACCAGAGTTCCATCCGGTCCGCAAGCGAGAGTCCCACTTCCTGAGTGCGGGCTGGGTCCAGCTGCTGACACGGCTGCCTCCCTTTGGGGACAGACCAGGGTTCCACAAGCTTCCTCTCCTCCTTCCACCCCTCTGCCGCGCGGCGCACCCTGTTGCTCGCCAGTCTGGAAAATTCGCGTGCAGCGTTCTGCTCTTCAGTTTCCTAAGCCGCCTAGAAAAGACCCCCACAATCAAGCGCCAGAGAAGCCGGGAGCTCCAGCCGCCGACCTCTCCAGCACCGCGGACAGCAGCACGCGCTGGGCTCCCTTCCCAAACCGGATACGGGGGGTGGGGGGTGGGCCGTGTGTGGGGCCCCGGAGTCCCGTGTGTCACACGGCCAGGCTGTGCCAGCACCTCCGGAGGCCCCGAGTCGCCCGAGGTCGCTGGCTCCGGAGAGGGCTGCATCCCGGGTGGCTCTGCGTGGCAGGGAGAGCACCTCCCCACCTGCTGGCCTCTCTTGGGCATCCAAAGGGCTTCCTGACCACAGGCTCAGGGGAGTGAGGATTGCGCTTCACAGAGCAGCAAAGTGAGGACAGAGAGGATGGAGCTTGTGCTCAAGGTCACCCAGGCCGGGGGGTCACAGCTCCCCAGGAAGGAGGGAGGGCCGTCCAGGCTGGGTGCCCAGAGCCGCTGCCCCACAGGCGGTCCTGATGCCCCTCAGCAGCCCTGCCCTCTCTGGCCTCTTCACCTGCCACTCACTCGAGGCTGCCACCTTCCAGCTAGCGCCGCGTGGGCTCAGGTGTCCTCCGTGGTGGGTGTGAGTCGGGGATGCCCATGACCTCAACCAGGGGAGGCCATGTCATCTGGAGGTGCGTGGTCGGGGCCCTCTAGAGTGTGGGCCCTGGGGTGCTCGGCACTGAGTACCGGTACCGTGATGTTCCCTCCCATGGCCCTGGCCACAGCCTGGCCCTCTCCCTTGTGTTTTCCATCATTCCCAAATGTGCACTGAGTCACAGGCCTTCAGAAGTTGTTATGGGTGTGTTTGGGCTCTGCAGTTCAACAGGCCCTGTCCCCTGGGTGCCTTCGCAGCTCCCACACCCACCCGCATCCCATGCGCGCAGGGACTGGCAGTGCCCTGGGCTGCTGATCTCACGGCGCTGTGCCGTCCTGCCCCTAACTCTGAGCTTCATGTAGCCTTGCCTAACACACCCACAACCTTGACCTGGACTGGACTCGGCTCCTGGACACAGCATCTCACGGGCCCCATACCCTTGTGGAGGGAGGCAAACAGCAAAAGCAGGTTTGCACTAACAATAGTGGTCAAGAGGTGGGGAGAGGGTCGCGCCTGTGCTCTGCTCCCCACCCCACGGGCGGACCCGGGGCAGCCTGCTCCCTGCTGTGTGGACACAGGTGCAGTGCATGCTACGAGGAGTAGCCCTGGGCTGACAGGCACCTGCAGGCACACACTCTGCTCCAGAGCGCCCGCGCCCGCGCATCTCTCCAGTGGAATAGAGGGCGCACCCCTGCTGGCTCTCTCTCTCCTTCCCTGGACACCAACCCCCATTTCTCCTGGCCCGAGATTACCAGGCATCCAAGTCCCGCCTCGGCTCTGCCTCAGCCTCCCCAGGCCACGGAGTCCCCCGCGCAGGATGGTCTGGCACAGAGCTGAAGCTGGGATGTTGTGCAGTTACACTACTGCTTGTCCCTCATCCTGGCCCCATGCAGCCAGGAAAGCACTGAGTCAGAAATGTGACCTGTCCACCATTCTTCCTTCCTGCACCCATTGCTCCTCAGTGGGCAGGCACCGGGCTGTAAGAGGTCCCTCGCTGTGGAGTTTCAGCCGCAGCCCCGTGAGCACAGGCTCAGCGAGCAGCTATGCTCGGGCCTGGGACTCGGATTCAGGGTGAGGGTGTGGAGCCCAGGGGAGCCTCCCAGACCCAGTCCCAGGATCTGGGCGGAGGCATTGAAGTGGGGCTGTCAGCACCACCAGCTGCCCTCACGAGCGCAGGGCTCTCTGGGCTGCTCCTCGCCATCTGCATCGTAGCAGGACAAAAG